TGTCTGCCATAGTTATGTTTTGTGCTTGAATAAATTACACCTTGAAGCGCCATAACGCATCCACATGTTGAATTAAATAACTTGCGATGTTAAAACGATTTTTTAACAGCATAAGATACTTTTTTTTTTAATTCCTCGTATATTATAATCGTACACATTCGATAACAATGACCCAAATAACCACTCAATTAATAACCCAACCTAGATGTGAATAAATAGCTTGATGTATTGTCTAATACAGATTACACTGGGGAAAAAGAAGAGTAAAATTCAATATTCAAGAATGATATAAAAATGAATAATAAAGAAATATAAGAGGAGTCTTCAAAACATGAGCATATAAAGTAATTATATGTTTGAGTGATTAATTCAAGACCGTTTTAATGTATACTGGCTGAATACAAATAAAGGTGTAATATTTAGAAGGAAAAAAAATTTTATTATAAGACATTTAGACTGATTTCTGAGCAAGCAATGAAAAATGTTCGTGATAACTTGCTATCCAAATAGCATCAGACACTTTTTTGTTTAATCTTTAGTTTTATCATTATAACAAAACTCATCACGACAATTTAATACATTATTAGGAGTGAAGTTTTTTACACATGGTTTTTAATAACTTCCCAGTTAAGACTTATAATTGAGAAATTTTTTTCCTTCGATTCTCCAATTGAATTGAATGATGGAGTATTAATAAATAGATTTTTTTTTCAAAAAAAGTACAATAAATATTGATAAAGCAAAGGTTAATTATTAGATTTTAAAATTATGATACATTATGATATATTTTAATATTTAAAGATACACTGAAATTTAATGAAAATATTATAAATTAAATTAAAACAATAAATTTCTTCATTTTTCTATTTATATTCAGATATAAAAGCACAGTGCATGTTTTTTTAATAATTCTGTATAATAAAAATAACACATGCAAACATTTTTATTTAATGATTATTAAAATATGGTAATTGAAATTTAACGAACATGTGGATTACAGTAGGCATAAATTATAATAAATAAACCTTTGGATTTTTTGGCGGATCATGGTTCAGTATTTTCATAAAACAAAATATTTTATAAGGAGGAAAGTTTTGATGGAGAAAGAGGATGAGTTTAAATCCGGAAAATCTATTTTGTGGGTAATCCCAAATCATTGTTGTCAACAAAACTGAAGAAAAGTCACAAATTATCAAATATACGGATTATAATTGAGTTTAGATTTGATACGGATAGAATTGAGTTAGCTGCACAAAATTTGGATAAATACATATTATACAAGCCTTAACCTAAATTACAACACTTTATAGGAGGAAATTTTTATTCATATTAAATATTTACTTTAAACTGTAGATTAAAAAGAAAAACTGTAGATTCAATAAATAAAAGCAAACAAAAATTATATTCATATTTATTTCATAAAGTAAATGCAAAATACATTTTGATATTTGAAATAAATATATGTAAAGTAGATAATCCCATTCCAGAGAAAAACATTTTTCTCATTTGAGATTTATCAAAATCTGCACATTATACAATGAGCAACAAAAAAAAAGAACCACTCTAAATGACTTTTGATCTAACGATCAGATCTTCACGTTTTAGAAATCAATCTTAATGGCTCTAGGAGGTAACCTCGAATATGCTAATTAATTAGTGCAGACGTTATTATAAGTTACAATAAAAGCTTACTTTCTCTAAATAAACAAGCATTTTTTTGACGTATTTGGACTTTTGACCACTACTCGCAATCTGGGAAATATGGACCCAATAGTTTGGTCAGGAGTGCTGTCCCAATTTTGGACCACTTAATATTATTTTTACTTTTAGCGTATTTCACCATATTTCGAAAACTTATTAAGAAAATTGAAAACTTTTTCATCTCTTTTTTTGCACATAATTAATTAGAAAATTTGCTTGTCCAAAGATAATTCTTTGCAAAATATAGACTTCAGAAAACTTTTATTATTATATTTAAAATAATCAATAAATTTCTGAATTGTAAAATACACAGTTTTTTATGTAATTTTAAAAAATGTAATTTTACAAGACAAAATATGAAGAAAAAAAATTGTATTTTTAAAATAAAATTTCTCAGGAACTATTGGTGTAATTTTGCTCAAATTTTGTTACGTAAAATTTCATTCTTTATGTGTAAAAATGCTCATATGCTTAACAATACAAAGTTTTCCAACTATTACTAAATAAAATAATAAAAAACATACTTCCTAAAAATTATTTCTGCATGGAATTATCGTTGGATAAACAAATTTTATAATTGTGCAAACATTTTTAAATTTGTTTAAAAAGTTTTCGAGATATGGGGAAAGACACAAAAAGTAAAATTAACATTCAGGGGTTCAAACTTTTGACTGCTCTCCTGGACAAACTATTGGGACCATATTTTCCAGATTGAGGCTATCCCCTATATTTCGGGAGTGAGAAATCCAATTCCCTTGAAAAAAAGGTATGTTTATTCAGAGAAAATACGTTTTGTGTCTAATTTTGTAACTTAAACTATCGTCTGTACAAATTAATTTACATATTTGAGGCCATCTCTGAAACTATTAAGATTGAATCCTAAAACATGAAGATCTGATCATGCGATAAAAAGTTATTCAGGATGGTCTTTCTTTCAGCGCACTGTACAATAAATATAGATTCCAATTAATACATATGGAATTTCGAATTTCAACTCATGCAAATATACTACATTCATTCTACATGCTGTCAGGCTTCATAGACAAATCAATGATAACTAGAAAAGGAGTACAAAAAAAAGAAGAAAAAAAAACACCAAGTTTTACATCCAACACAATTTATTGTCGGTTAAAAGAAGAGTAATTAATTTAATTTCAAATCACATAACTGTGATTAAATAATTGATAATATTAAAACTTTTTTTAAATTTAAAATTTGACTAAAATATTTAGTTCTTCAAGAATTAAATATTTTGGCCAATTTTTTAAGTGTCAGTTGATATAAAGTTTCCATTATTTATACAGTTTATATTTTTGAAGATTTTAAATTAAATAAATTTCTCAAATTCTGATACTACATAATAATTTATTTCTCCCTTTTATCCCCAATTATTTTAAGTAAAATTCAACAGGTAGTAAAAATTTATTCAAACATTTAAAGCTCACAGAAAATAAAAATAAATATATTTAAAAAAAGGAAAACAGCATTTAAATTTAAAATAAATTCCTCCTTCAATCATTACAATACATTTATCTCTTTTTTTAGTAATACTAACTTCTTAAAGTTGAATACAATGCTTTAATANTAATTAATTAGTGCAGACGATATTATAAGTTACAAAATCATACTCAAAAACTTACTTTCTCTAAATAAACAAGCATTTTTTTGACGGATTTGGACTTATGACCACTACTTGCAGTCTGGGAAATATGAACTTAATAGTTTGGTCAGGAGAACTGTCCCAATGTTAGACCACTTAATTTTATTTTTACTTTTAGCGTAATTCACCATATTTCGAAAACTTTTTAAGAAAATTGAAAACTTTTTGCACATAATTAATTAGCAAATTCGTTTGTCCAAAGATAATTCCTTGCAAAATATAAACTTCATAAAATTTTTATTATTATATTGAAAATAGTCAATAAATTTCTGAATTGCAAAATACATAGTTTTTTATGTAATTTTAAAAAATGTAATTTTACAAGACAAAATATGAAAAAAATTGTGTTTTTAAAATTCAATTTCTCAGGAGCTATTGGTGTAATTTTGCTCAAATTTTGTTATGTAAAATTTCATTCTTTATGTGTAAAAATGCTCATATGCTTAACAATACTATTACTAAATAAAATAAAAAATATACTTCCTAAAAATTATTTCTGCATGGAATTATCTTTGGATAAACAAATTTCATAATTGTGTAAACATTTTTAAATTTGTTTAAAAAGTTTTCGAGATATGGGGAAGTACACAAAAAGTAAAATTAACATTCAGGGGTTCAAATTTTTGACCGCTCTCCTGGACAAACTATTGGGACCATATTTCCCAGATTGAGGCTTTCCCAGATTGTGAGAAATCCAAATCCCTCGAACCAAAAAAGGTATGTTTATTCACAGAAAATATGTTTTTGTGTCTAATTTTGTAACTTAAAATATCGACTGTACAAATTAATTTTCATATTTGAGGTCATCTCTGAAACTATTAAGATTGAATCCTAAAACATGAAGATCTGATCATTCGATAAAAAGTTATTCAGGATGGTCTTTCTTTTGGCGCACTGTACAATAAATATGGATTCCAATTAATACATATGGAATTTTGAATTTCAACTCATGCAAATATATTACATTCATTCTATATGCTGTCAGGCTTCATAGACAAATCAATGATAACTCGAAAAGGAGTACAAAAAAACATCTAACTTCTACATCCAACATGATTTATTGTCGGTTAAAAGAAGAGTAATTAATTTAATTTTAAATCATATAACTGTGATTAAATAATTGATAACAATAATATTAAAACTTTTTTTAAATTTAAAATTTGACTAAAATACTTAGTTCCTTAAGAATTAAATATTTTGGCCCATTTTTTTTTAAGTGTCAGTTGATATAATGCTTCCATTATTTACACAGTTCATATTTTTTAAGAATTTAAATTAAATAAATTTCTCAAATTCTGATACTACATAATAATTTATTTCTCCCTTTTATCCCCAATTATTTTAAGTAAAATTCAACTGGTAGTAAAAATTTATTAAAACACTTAAAGCTCACAGAAAATAAAAAAATATATATTTAAAAAAAAGGAAAATAGCATTTAAGTTTAAAATAAATTCCCCTTTCAATAATTACAATACATTTATTTCCTTTTTTAGTAATAACTTCTTAAAGTTGAATACAATGCTTTAATCAAACATAAGACAAAATTTTCAAGAATTGAATGTACATTATTAACATTAAATATATATTATCTCTTTTTTTAAAAAAAAAAATAATAATATCAACTCTGTATAAAAAAAAAAAAAAAACTGAGATGTGACAATGGTCACTTTCACTCCAAATGAAATATAGACTTTAATTTTTACAACAGACCTTTAAAAATTAATAATTTTTATTATCACAAGTACATATATCCATATTACTTCACAGCAAATCACTGTTCTGAATTTTAAGGCCATTCTCCACTGGTTACAAATTATATAGCCTAACAGTTAAAAAAATCCATATTTACTATTAAATGTTATAAATAAATCAAAGGAATAAACTTTTTTAAAAAAATCCAAACTGACTTCCAAATTAAAAATCCAAATTGACCAAAATGTTTGAATAAATTAATGAAATAAACTTTAAAAAAAAATCAAATTTACTTCGTTTCAAAATATTATAAAAAATTCAAAGAAATGTTGTTTCTAATCTCAGATGATTCAGCTCAGCTACACCATCAAAGAAATAAACATTTGTATAAAACTTCAAATTAGAACCACATACATACTTGTGGTTAGGTATTAAAACTCTTTTTTAAGCATGCTCCAAAATTGTTTTTCTAAATCCTTAATAAAAGCAATACTATCTATAATTAAATTTAGCACAGAAGACTGAATATAAAATAATTTCCAAAAACTGAACACTAAAATGATGTTATACTCAAATTCAAATATTTCAACAACCACAAAAATAAAAAAAAATTTTAAAAATCTTAATTAAATATTCATTCAGTGAAATTGAAAGCTTCATAAGTTTTGTGGTGGTGTTTTTTAAGTTTCTTTATCCAAGTTTTCTTGTCGGCAAGTTTTATGTGAGTGCTATCAACAACATGCATAGCCAAGTCATACAGACTCTGTTCAGTGAATTTTGCAGATGAGGCTGCCAGATCTTCTTCTGGAATTCTGTCACAAAACTTAAATCCTTAAAAAAAATAATAATAAAAAAAAATGAATATAAAATATCCACATTTAAATTTTAAGATAGTTTTAGTTTTTACTAAACAATTTCGCATTGTATTTTCATTACTATTATTTTTAAAAGGAAAATTATTTAAATAAAGAATTATCTATAAACAATGATCTTTCCTAATAAAGCATAAAACTAAATGAGGTTATAACATTTCAATTTATGCTCATGGACAAGCAAGTAACATGATTCAATTGCAAATAAATAAGAAAATCAAAAAGTTACGATCATGATTAGTATGAAATTAATTAGAGTGCAGAATCTGAAATTAATAAAAGGACACTATTCATTAATTTAAACTGCTATTATTTTCTCCTGGTATTATTACATTTTTTATTTCATTTAATGGAGAATATTAAAAGCTCAATTAGAAGTAATTGTTGTTTAAATTTGGACTATTATATGATGTGTAAATACATTTCATATTAACTGATTTCAATAACAAATGATAAACAATCATTAATGAATTTTGATACTTGTAATAATCTAATAATAAATAATTTTTATTACAGTTGATATAAACATTACCTTGTCAACAGTAAGGTTTGAAAAGAACTTCTTTTCTTCTGGAGTAATTGAAAAATAATTAAATTATAAAATGGACTTTTATTAGAATAAAAGCTGTATTTTACCTTCAAATTTACTAAGTTTGCAAAGCTGATAGTAATATTTTTAAATATTATTTTTTTAAGAAAAATGATTTAGGACCACATATGGTTCTCGATAAAATCACAAACTAAACCTTAAGGGGTAAGCACTTAATCACTTGTGTATAATAGAACAAAAGAATATTTCTATGGCGTACATTTTAAGGGACTAATTTCATCTTTAGGAGAAACAAACACAATTGCAAAGCAATCATGGGGTTCAGTAAGCAACAGAAAAATGTACTGTAGCAGCCCTGTCACTAGTGTTAACATGATAAATAAATAAAATAACATACACAAATATTAGACTTCCAAGATTTTTTTATGAATTTGATGGAAGCAAGAAACATTTACCATATATATCAGCGTATAAGTCGATTTTTTTTTCCACTTAGGGTATAAGTCGACCGACCACCAAAATTTTACTAAAGACCAGGGGTGAAATAAAGTCAGACATTCGTTGATTGTGAAATATCGATACCTTATAAACAATGAGATTGATATGAATAACTCTGTATCAATTTTCCCCTTTCAAAAACTATTTTTAATGTGTTATAAATACAATTAATTCAACAATTTCTTTCATAATATTTTTTTACAAATAAAGTATTTTTAAACACTTTAAAATACATACAGAAAAAAAAACTTAGAATAAGAAAAGTTATGATAATTAATTGAAGAGCTTTTCGAAATATATAAAACAATGAAAACTTTTTAAAGATATAAAAGCTGCAAATTTAAAGATTCCAGAAAATCATCTGTGTCAGATTCATTAATGTTATGCATCTTTATTTGAAGACAAATGTATATATCAAGACACTGATAATTTTTTTATGTTTTTAAATTTCATAAGTTTTTATATTTCGTTTCTTTAGAGGTCGACTTAGACACCCAACATACCTGAAATTTTCGATTTCGAAATCAAAAATAGGGGGTCGCCTTACACACGATATACAGTTATTAAACATAATATGGGATCATTGAATTATTATGGTTCAATTCAAGAAGTAAATACAAATTTGGAATTTGCTGTATGAGACAATTAGAAATATAGTTTCTGCATAAGATCTATTTAAAATATATTCTTTAGGAAAAAAATGAGTAAAAGAAAAATATTTAGTGAATTAATTGCAATTGGCAAACCAACAAAATTTAAAATTAAAATTTATGTATTTATATAAATACTTAACATTCTCTTGTAGAACAATGCAATTTAAATCAAAACAAATTAAGTAAAAAATTTGTTGCAAGCATAGCAATTAGGCAAACTAGCGAACATGCTAAATGAAATTCCATATTTTTTTTAACCATTAAAACTTTTCTCATTAAAGTGAAATTAATACAAAATCAAATTAATCAATAAATAATTTAAATATTAAATCAATAAATTAATTAATCAAGATAAGACTAATTTACTCAAGAAATATTTAGTAAGACATTCCAGAGCGTACATAAAGTTGAAATACATACCAGATTTTTGTATAGCTTGCAAATTTACTGACACTCGAGAAACCACATTAGCTTTCAACAATAAGAAGTCAAAAAGTATTTTCTGTGTCTCGTCTGACACTAATGGATGTTTAAAAACTACCGAAAGAAAATCTCTCAAAACTGCTTCATAATTTGTTACCTAGAATAAGCAGATAAGTAACATAAAAAAATATATAAAATTGCAAACTTACTGACACTTGAGAAAATACATTAGCTTTAAACAATAGGAAATCACAAAATATTTTTGGTGTCTCATCTGAGACTAATGGATGTTTAAAAACTACAGAATGAAAACTGTCTCATAATTTGTAACCTAGAATAAGCAAGTAACATAAGAAAATAATAATATTGTATTGTTGTATTTGTTAGATTTAGCACTAAAAAATAGTCATTAAATCATTTTTTTTGTTGTTTTTTTTACTTTCCTTCTTGAGGGCTACTGCACAAAATATCTTTTAAAACATTATTATTATTTATTGACTCTATAGACAAAAAATGTATTGTTTTATTAAAAAAAATTTAAATATGAATTAGCCAAAACATTTTTATTGAAAATGTTTTTAGATGCATATGTTATTTTCATAAGCATAATAAGCTTACATAGCTAAAAATCAGTTCACTTGTTACAAAAACAACTTGTTGTAAAGCTTTTTAATTCATAGTTTTTACAGCTTTTTCTCCATTAAATGAAGTAGTTAAATAAAGTATAAATACCTCACAGAAATTTAGATTCATTAGCAATATAATAACTAAAAAATATTTTACTAAATTCATAGTCTTCATCCATACTTTAAAACAAAACATTTTTATACAAGGCCTTATTACTGCAAACCTCTTTAAAAATTACCTTAACAATTACCTTAATCATTGCTTACATTATTGATAAAAAAAAAACAATGAATTTTTTATGAAAACTCAAATGAAATGCATGATTTCAATGTTCTTAACTAAATCATCGACACTCAAGTTCTACAATGCTCTCTTGCACTCTCTAATTTAATGAAAACAAATTAATGTTCTTAACTAAGCAAATTTGAGGGCATTTAATATATTTTATCATTGTATTTCTACGTGTCTCATTATTTTTTTTAAAAACATTAAATAGTTTTACTTATGCATTTGTCCTATAATTGATACAAAAAATTAAATATCATAGAAAGTAACATTGTAAAACTTTATACTGGGTATGTTTCTTAAATATTGAAATATGCTTCTAAAGAAAGTAGGGCATGTCATCAGGATTAAGAATTGCATAGGAACCCGTTACCAAAAATCTCATCATATACCGCTAGTGGTGCTTCTCTATTATGAGCATATACAATATATTTTCGAAAGTTAGCTGAGAATTTTTACAAATACTTTTTAATAAATTATTTTTTGTTGTTGCATATGCAATGTAACATAAGCTTGCCTAAAAAATTTTTAATAACTTTACAACACTAATTCTATTATTTATTCTTATCATTGAAAATGCCTTTAAAAACATGCTAAATTACTTTCATTATTTCTTAAATTAATAATGAATGCAATGATTTTTAATAAACAGTTAAATTATTAAAATTATAATTTTAATGATCTGAATTAAATCATTGACGCTCAAGTTCTACAATTTTCTCTGGCTCTCGCTAATTAATTGAAAATAAATTAATGTTAACTAAGCGTATTTGAGGACATTTAATATCTTTTATCGTTGTATTTTCACATGGCTCATTATTTTATTTTATTTTAACATTAGATAATTTTACTTGTGCATATGTCCTGTGATTGATAAATAAAATAAATATCATAGAAAGTAACATTGCAAAACTTTACATACAGGGTATCTGCTACATTTTAGATTTTCAAATCCATGACTAATACCAATAGTTTTTCATGACTTACCGAAGTTACTATTTTCCTCTGTCAAAAACACAACAAAAATTTTAAAAAGCATTATAATAACATAAATTGAAATGATAGGTATAACCAAAACTGTTATACTCTGAAACAGAGTAAAGAAAGAGTTGAAGCAATAAAATAGCTAAAAAAAAATACAAAATCAAATAACTAAATACAGTCAGATATATGTAGTTATTTAAACCTGTTTTATTTCTTCTTAAAAGTAAGTGTAATATAAAAAGCCTTAACTAGAATTTTAAATTGATAAAATAAAAAAAAATTCTGAAATCATGGAAGTTTAAAAGATAATTCACTCTAGAAAGGATGTTCTTTCTTTCCTTTTTTGAAAGAACATCATAATTTTTAAAGAACAGGATTTTATATTTTAATAAAATATGACTATGAGTGGGGATTTTGTTACAAATTCAGATATTCAGAACACTGTAAAATTGGGACGGGGGGATTCCATTTTAAAATTAGATTTTTCAGCAACCTAAATCCATGACTTTCCATGATTTTTTTTAAAAATAGTTAAATTCATGACCTTTCATAACAAATTTTGCTCATTACCAAAATCCATGACTTTCCAGGTGCACAGATACTCTGTATATAGGGTGTTCAGCAAATATTTAAACAATATTTTAGGGAAGGTAAGAAATGCCATCAGGATTAAGAATTGCAGTTAGTGGATCTGATTATAAGCTGACCAACTTTGAAAAATACCAGAACATTAGCAATAATCAGTAAATATCACGGAACATACATACAAAACATAAAAATATATAAAATAATAATTGAAAACGGCATGCCTATATACAAAAATTGAAAAACAAACAATTTAAAAGTAATACTATTATTTTTAAATCTTCTAATTACGAATTCAGAAGGTCTTTACCAACAATGCAACCATTACTACAAGAGAAGGGGTACATTTCTATTTCCAAGAGTAGCATGCCTCTTCTTTTTAAAACAGCTTATAAGTTTCTATTGTCGGATGAATTTGCAATCAAAAAGCCTATCCTTTGGCTTATGCAGAGAAATATATGTTAATTTATGTGTCTTTGAATATGTACTTTTATTTATCTAAAATATTTTAGTTTCATGTTTTCTACTAATTATTGTCAAAAATTGCATTCATATAGGTTCAGTATTAGTTATATTACCGTAAGACTTCGGGGTCTAACGGGCCAAGCTAACCAAATCAATAATTTTAATACAATTTTGAACAATAATTATTAGAAAACATAAAATTAAGATAATTTAGATAAATAAAAATACCTGATCAAAGATAATTATTATAAAAAAGCATTACCTTCTTATCAATGCTGACAAAAATATCATTTACAACTAGATGCAAAAATCTAAGAAGATTCTGCAGCTGCTTTTGCCTTTTCCATGGAAGAATATAAACCAGGAGCTGCAATGCATATAAAGCTCTTGACCTAGAGTCATTCTTCAGCATATTAACAATAGGAATGCAGATAGAAAAATATTCCCCAGGAATTAGAGATTCAGCAGAACATGAAAATCTGTCAACAACAGATCGATAACAAAGTACTTTGCAGGCCTGCAGAGACCACAGACCTGCAATACCCGCAGGATGCAAGCCATCTAGGCAAGCAGAAGCAGTCTTCACCCATGGGATGTCAGCAACCGGACCTCTGAAATCAACTTTGGCAGGTTTAACTTTACGAGGAGTAAAATCATTCTCCAGCACAAAAGGCTGAGGCGCTTCTGGTAGCTCTGGTAAATCGTAAGGGACAGACAAAATGCTTTCTAACATGGGGACATCAATGAGTTGCAGTAAAAGAGTCAAAGCAGTTTCTCTCAGGTAATGGACATCTAAAAAGAAGGAGTGATTTAGATGTTTATCCGTGAGCAAACATATTAAAAGTATAAAATAATACATACAACTTTAATAAAATCATAACTTTAATAACATATTTAAGTTCTTATTTTTTCAGTTTTAGCTTTAAAGTTTTTGATAAATTTCTTACTTAACACAGTTGCTGTTTGTAATGCTTAAAGTTTATACAAAGTACACTCCTTGTGTGTAAAACATAATTAAAAGCTTTGCCTATAGAAAATAGTAGAGTCCAACTGGTAGAAACATGATAAAAATAGTTTATTTCCCCTTGTATTCTTTGTTTCATTTGGGTTCGCATTTTTCTTGATTCACTGATGGTTGTGATTTAAATTTTGATGGTGCAGTGTTTTCATTACAGTGCGAGAACGCGAGAATCTCGCATATTTTTTTCTTTTCTTGCAATAAAAAATTATAAACGCGAGAAGTTCGCGCACTCTATTAATCAATTTCAAAATGCGCGAATTTTGGAAAAAATTTCGTCTTTAACCATTTTGAATAAAATCCGTTTCACTTTTCTTCCTTGATCTTTCATTATTTTGAACATTGGTCCTTGTTATATAGCTTCCCTATTTACCAGTATTGATCAGAACCAGTGCGAACAGCAGAATCCCCCCTCCCCCGAACCCTTTTCAGAACACATTTCTCTGCAGTCACGTTTTCACCGTAGGTAAGGTTTATTCATGTAAGATGTTTACATTTTTTGTGCATGAATGTAAGATGGACAAATACCTTGTTAAGGCGGCATCTTTTACTCCGTAGCGGACAAATGAAAATTAAACAAATGTCGGGTGAAACGGTCAAAACGAAACAAATACGGATATTTTTCAGTCAAATAAATATAATAGCTGATGAAAAAGGAGATATAGAACATTTTCCAAATGATGATGCAGCAAAAATATTCAATTAGAAGATGTTAAAAATGTATTATAATTAAAGAAATAATTTTTTTCCAAGTCTACTCGTGTTTTTTTAACTTTTAGAAATCTCACTTAACTCTTTGAAATCTCACCCTGTTTTTGAGAAAGGGTGAGAAATTCTCTCCCATTTTTTTCTGTAATGAAAACACTGGTGGAAATTTAAATTTTTGTTTCATAATTTCACTAGCATTCTATCCATTTACACATAGTTATCCATTTTTCGTTTGGGATGAAAAATAAGCAGCACTGAACAACAGCACTGCACAAAACTTTAAGACAAATAAAAAAGCTAAAATAACTCCAATGCTTATTATTTATTTCCTATTATTATCCGTAACCCTTCTGAGCGGCATTACGTTATAAGATAAAGCAAAACACGCATTCAGTAGTTCATCCCATCAACAAAAAAAAGAAAAGATTAACTGTATTCAGTATCATTTGGCATAATGCCTGGAGGTAACTCATGATATTTAAAATTCAAAATCAAAGTTTCATCCAATCCCAAGTTTCTCCTGTACTTTTATCTTCAATAGGACCGTAAAAAAATTATCAGAAAAATGTACAATCTTGGTGCAGCTATAATCGGCACCAAATTTAGTTATAAAATTTTTTGTAACTATATAAAGCTATGTTTGGTATTTATTAAAATTACATCCATTACTAAAATTAAGTGTCAGTAGTGTCAATAATAGTATGCCAACTTTTTGCACTTCCCAGTAACGAACAAGTATATTTTCACAATTAATTCTTATTTTAAAGCTAACTTTTTTATACAATTTCTCTATAACTGAAAAAGTGAGCAAAAATTCTTACCTTCTTGGTCTGAGCCGGAACATCTTGAATTTCTTTTTGACAAACGCACAGGGCTAGGTTTGGTGTCCCTCACTTTTAAAAGCGGTGTCCTTAAACGGATTGAATGTCTTTTGGCAGATCTTATGAAATTTGGAGTCAAAGAGCTTGAGTTATGACCAAAAGAAGAATTTCTAACATTTTCTTTATTCTCATCTGCTACAGGCGAGCTAAAAAAAATATTTTCACATTTCAGGTTCAAAAGTTATTTTTCTTCTATTCATTAATTTCTAAATTTTTTGCAATTATGACATTTAGTTACTTCATATATCATAAAATATCATTGACAATATAATTGTACTCATTAAGTGCAAAAATAACAATTTAATGAAGTAAAAGATATAAAGATAAGTGATAAATTTATCAAATATTAGAATTGAAAGAATAAAAGTAATTCTTAACACTATTATTTTCGAAACAAAGAACAATTTTAAATTATGCAGACAAAAGAGATAAAGTTTCAAACTTTTAGTACAAAAAATTACTTAGTTTCTGCTATAGCTGGTTTTTCAAAAAGTATTAATAAGAAAATCTTTATATTTGATATTCTTCTTAAGACTAAACTCAGATAAAATGGAAAAATCTTTAAAAATTAAAAAAAAATTATAATAAATTCTTACTTTACAAAACCAAGGTTTTCCACACCAGTATTTAAGTCTTTATGACTATCTTGAGTAATCTTATCATCGATAAATCTGTAGAATCGATGTGAACTATCTTCAAACTTCAAATTACCTTTAGGAGACACACACTCGAAAAATTTCTTATCCATTAAAACCTGGCATACCTTTTGCAGAGAGAAAAAAAAAAATTTGAAAAATCAAATTGGTTAAAATAAAATTATAATATGTTCTAGATAAAAGTTAATAATTTCACTAGAACTATAAATTATTATAAAATTTTAACTGTGACTGGTAATTTGACTGAAACAACAGAACAAAATCAACATAGTGTGTCTTTAGAAAGAACTCCCCTCAACACAAAGTCTAAGGCTATCTGCTTCAATGGTAACAAGAAATAATGAATAATGCAAAGAAGAAAGAAAGGAGCTTCTCTCTCCCCTGATTACCTTTCTATCACTGTCATGAGCCAAAACATGTCTTAAATATTGGCCTATACTTGAATAGTTAAACCTTCTTATAACCATACTGACTGCCACTGCTCCAGGCAAATAGTGAGGAGAGTTCTTTCCATAGACAGACTGTGGGCACAAATCGTTTCCTTTTGCTGGATACCAGAAAATTTAACAACGGTGAACTCTTAGTTGCAGATTTCCCTTCATTAGATTCTGTAATTGATAAGGTGACAAAGTAAAACTGCCTGAAAGTAGTAAATAGTTGTTTGATCAAGTGTAGCTACGAAGTTTATCCATCATGTTTGCCTCTCACAATTATTTTAATTTTAATTCTTATGCATCACTTCCTTGTCATCAAAACTTGGTGATCATCTTTGCATATGGTGCAGTACATTTTTTTGGCAGGTGCCAAACCATTGGAAAAGTGTCATACTCATACAAAATTGAAATTTGATAATGTCAGAACTACTTCATTCAGATAAGGCTTAAAATTATTAATATAACAGCAATAATTGAAACATGAGAGATTTTGAAATATATTTTAAGTGTTATGATATTATCTAAATGATCATCACAGGCTGGCAAGAAAAACACCGTAAAAATTGAAGAAATTTATATATTCTCTTAATTTCTATATTTAGCAGCAACTTTCAAAAAGTCAAATATTATAATTCATTATAACTAATTTCACTTGCTATTGCTTACCATTCCTTTAGGCAGCTATATTTTAAGAGTATTTAAAATATGTATTAGCGTACTTACACAAATCCACATTTAAATTACAAATATTTTTTTTATTTCTTTAATTATAAAGTGCAACACCCTTTTACACAGAATATTCATATATATATTGAAAAAAAATTCTTTTATATTAAATGAAGGTAACTCAATCAATGAATTCAGTTTAATAATGAAAAGACTTTTCAACATGTTACCTTTTTTTTGGCGTAATATAAAGTTCGAGTTTAGTCCTTCCATTTCCTCTTGCTTTTTACATATTTTGTTAACTAGAGTTTTAATTTTTATATAAAGCTTACAATTTTGTTTTAAGCATGATTTGGTAAAAGAAAAGGGAATATTTCCATATCATGATCTGCCACGCTAACTAGAGGTTTACCAGAGGGTGGCTATGAGTTACAACCCCTGAGTAGGTCCTTTCTGTGACATTTTTCTTAGTTTCTCGTTGGCTTTTACCCGAAAGTTGCTAAGACTTAGCCTTTCTTCTGCCCCCCAAAAAAATTATATGAAAAATAAAATGTAGAAAGACCTTGAACTTAAACCTCCTCATTTCAGAATTTTAAGTTTGGTGTTTTACTAAGTTTATCGAAATTTGTTGGAAAAACTGCCCGTTTTTTCAGTTATGTAGTTACAGTTACTTTAATTTACTTTGAACATTCAATGAGTGTATTTTACACCTGATCTACAACTCGTACACCCAACTATAATTCATCAAACATTGAATAAATAAAAAAAACTTAAGAATAACTAAACAATTACTATCAATAAGACAGCAAATTTCAGTGTAAACGTTTCTGAAACATGATGTCATAACAAAGACTAAATATTAGTTTCATTTCAAGTCGTATTTTTAACACATAGGGTGACCTGGGGTAATTATTGATCAAAAAATGCAAACATCTATTTTGTGAAAAAACTATTCAAGATAGTATTTTAATATTTACTGGAAGTTTGAAGCTATATGAGATGATTCCTATTCTACCTTCTTTTGTTTGAAAATCTAATTAGAATTTAAAAGATCTTAAATTTTTAGTGATCAGGAATTGCCCCTTCTCTTGATCATTTCCGGGGTAATTCTTGATCATTTCTGGGGTAATTACTGATCACCAGTTTTTACAGTAAATGGGCTGTTTAAAAATAATTATACAATGGTAATTAACAAATAAGACATTAAGATCAAACAAATAAACCAAAAATATATGTTTAAACTGCTAATAAAACGTTTTATTTAAAAGCAGGAATAAAGATTAACTCTTCAGCTCTGGCAGCAGCTCTCACACTGAAATTTTCATTTTCAATCATTAAAAGAAATTCACTATTTTTGCCTAGAAGCTTAGTATCCTTTTTAGGCTTATAATTTCTCACCATATTTATATTAGGTTAATTTATCAACTTAAAAATTATTCTAGCAACGTACACACATAAAATTAAGATAGAAGCAAGGTAAGACAAGCTAGAAATAGTGCATATCAGAGCACATTGGTCTTGTATACAGTTAAAAACAAATTTTGTGATTATAGTTAAAATATATTTTATAATTGTTCCACTTAATAAATATATGAACTGTTATTCTAGAAAAGAAAATGAACTATTTATTAGCTATTTTTTAAACTATTTATAAGAAGAAATGACAATGATCAGGAATTACCCCATCTGTAGGGGGCAACATTTGATATAGTTTCCTATAATTAATTATAACAGTGTTTTCATCATAGAAAAAAAATGGGTGAGAATTTCTCACCCTTTCTCAAAAACAGGGTGAGATTTCAAAAACTTAAGTGAGATTTCTAAAAACTAAAAAAACACAAACTCTAGGAAAAAAAATTTTTTTAATTATAATACATTTCTAACGTCTTCTATTTTTTAAAGCATTGAATATTTTTGGTGCATCATCATAGAAGATTTTGCCTTTAACACATAAAAAATTTGAACGTCTTACATGAAGAAACCTAACCTACAGTAAACACGTGGTTGCAGAGAAATGTGTTCTGAAAGGGGTTCTGTGGTTGTGTTCTGTTGTTCGAAAAGGTTTTTAACAATACTGGTAAATAGGGAAGCTAGATAACGGGGCAGATGTTGAAAATAATGAAAGATACAGGCAGAAAAGTGAAACGATGTTATTCTAAATGGCGTAATTCTAAGCTTTGTTCGAAAATGCGAGAAATTCGCGATTTTTGAAATTGATTTATAGAATGCGCAAATTTCTCGCGGTAATAATTTTTTAATGCGAGAAAAGAAAAAAATATGCGAGATTCTCCCGTTCTCGCTCTGTAGTGAAAACACTGTATAATGTTTACAGTAGATGTGAAACAATTAAACAAAAGCTTACACTATTTTTATATCAAAGAAAAAGAAAGTAACTCAAAATATTTATTATTAAGAGAAGGAGGGGGATCTTTGCAGAAATGTGCATACTTTGAAACCCATCTTTGAAATGGAAAATACAGAGAGCAGTTTAAAAGATACTTATTTTGTTAGATTAAACAAAAAACTATTATTAACTAAATGTAGTTATACTTTAGTAAAGTGTACAAGCATTCTTGTCCATGTCTCAAATTAAAAAAAAAATCATTTTTTTAAAATAAAACTTAGGTGATCATTATTTACCCCAGAAACAGAGTGATCGTGAATTACCCCGGGTCACCCTACATAGTAGGATATCTATTTTTAAAAATAAACTTCAAATCTTACTTTAACAGCATTTGGTCTTTCAATTCGATTTACATCCAGCTCCTCAGTACATTCCTTAAGAAAGAGAATAACGACATTGACTAAATCTTCACCATTGAAAACTTCATCATAATTCTTCAAAAAGTGTCTCTGACGGCAAACTCGCACTTTAGTTATTGCTTCTTTGGAGAGCTTTTGCCACAGACGAGTAGCCCAAAATGGATCTTCAAACAAAATCAATAATTAATACTAATAAAAGAATGTTTTCTTTTCTTCAAAAAAAATTAGCATAAATTTTTTTTCCGAGGGGATTTATGTTATTTACAAATTAAAAAAATTAATGACATTGATTGACATAAATAAAACCGTTACTTAAAAAGAACAATTGATCAAACTCAAGGGTAATTTAGAATTAAAAATCTTAAAATAGCTTACTTGTCTAGAATACAAAATTATCTCTTAATATCATACCTAATCGGCGAACACTTGGTTGAATAGTTGTTAGCGATTCAAAACTTCCGCCGTTTTCCTCTGCATCCATTTTTGAAATTTAATTTATTTATTTTGTTTTTTTCCATGACTAAATTTTATGCTGCCCATTTCTGTGCGTGCTAAATCCCATTTGCTAATTAACCTTGATGTAGATTTAAGGGTTTCATACACCTTTTATTAGCGAAGTAAGAATGAGGGAATCTAAATAATAAATAAAATTTTCCTCGGCAAATCTTTTTTTTCTGTGATCAGAAATGCGATAATCGCATGCTTTCTTAAGAACCATTCTCACTGCATTCAGTCAACGCGCGCGCGATCAAAATTTTATACATGAAGATACGGTCGCGCATGCGCGAATCGAATCGCATGCAGTGAGGGTATCTCCTTATTACCCACTTCCCGCCGCACACTGATCGTAAAAATGCGATTCCCAGTAGAACATCGAAGTTAAGCATCACTGGCTGTGGTCAGTAAAAGGGTGGGTGACTACTTTAATCAGCCTGCGTATTGACTGATGGTGCGAGGCATCGATCCTATTTAAACTGTTCTACCATAAAGTGCTCGACTTCACGTGCAGGTGGTCGGAATACGAAAGTAGAGGAGCCATCCCTCCTGCAGATAATCAAAATTGTGATGGCATGTCTTCGAATCATCATCAGGGATGTTTCCCAGACCATCGCCTATAGCCCATTGCGCAGTTCTAGTGCGACGTAAATAAAGTATCTACCTACCTCATAACCTACACTCGCGTTTAATGGTTTCGCCCTTAGATAAATAATTGGGGGATTCAATTAAAGTAATGCAACAGCGACATATTAACATGTATTTTCATTTTTTTATATTAGAAGTTATTGAATCATTAAAAAAAAATTTAATTTTAATTGAGTTGTCTATGTTACACAGTTAAACGCAAACGGTGATCAAACAGTACTATCACGAATCAAAATTTACTTTTCTATATCTAAATTGTAGTAGAGCAGCACTTGTTCTCAGAATAGGTAAGGATTGTCTTCAAATCATTACTAAGCATGAAAACCTGAACGTTGTCAATAGAATAGCGTATTGTGGCGTTAACAATAAAATTATTTTTTACATCAAATTAATAAAATATTATATTAAAATTTTTAAAAAAAATACATTACATAGAGACTATTAATAGTAGGTAGTCACTCTAAATTTACTGAATTACGAAGGAAGAATATACTAAATTACGAAGAAGTGCGAGGGGCATAGCGCGTAATCTGAAAAATCATAAAAATAGTTTCAAAATTACACATGACTTAGCCTACGAAATGACCTTCTCTGCAAATTGATCCTGTTGACGAAAGAAACTGTTCAAAGAAACGGCTTTGTCGTCGAAACAACCCTATCGTCAAAAAAAGCCCGTCGACAAAACGGTTCTGTCCACGAAATGAATTAGTCGAGGAGATTATCTGTCGATGATGTGATGTCGATAAAACGGCATGTCGATGAAGTAATTGTCGCTGAAATGAAAGCGACCCAATTTTTCCTTCTCACTTTTTTTGCATCACGACGATTTAACACTTTTGCGTTCACGATTTAACGCGTCTCAACTATCTATCAATTTTTTTAAAACACGAAATTAAAATATAATTTCCAGCCAGTTCCAAAATTATATCACTATTCTCTAATTTAGATTCCTTAATTCATCGTTTTTTCTGCATCACAGGCAGGAGGCGCTCCTGCCTGTGATGCAGCGTCAAGGGTAACCGAAGGCATGATCGCCGTGTTGACAGTCCCTGCTGCTTCACATTCATTCAACTATTCTTTTAGACACTTGCAGTCTTGCAAATGACAACCACATATGATAAACCACAATCCCGGTAGGCCACAATTCGACCTCGATCAAACTCAGACACATGCTGGCAGGTATTTCTCCTTCTTACACGAAGCATTGGTATACTATATCTTAATGGCCAGTAGTGAATAATAATGCACACACTTTAAAAAATTAAACAATTTATCTGAAAAATAAATACTTTGAACACACAAAAGTTTAAATGGATGTAAAGTTAAAGGAGTGGGCGATATAAATTTTTTTAGAAGAAAAAAATTCTTTTACGGCGATTTCAACAATTCACAGTGAAGGAAGAATTTTGCTTTCGTATAAAAATTATATAATAGTATTTTTTTAATTAATAATAAAAATAGTTTCAAAATTACTCATGAAGTATTACTTTGAAGCAGAAAAATTACAGGGTGTCTAGGCCGGTTTATTGTTATCACCACATTTGACCTCCAATCTAAATTGGTGTAGTGAGCACAAATGCCATCAAGGATGAATCCAAAACTGTCGCTAATAGTCATTAGTATAGCTGATGTTAATTACCAAACCAATCGAAAAAGTGAACTTGTTATCAAGCGAATTGCATTTATTGCTTCGTAAATTAGGTCTTTTTACCAAAAAAGAAAAAAATTCTTTTTTATCTAACATATATTTTACAAAATAGATCTATATTATATTTATTATTTTAATAGATCTACATTTTATATTTTACAAAATTTAAATATAATTATGCATAAAAATTTATTCTTACTTTACAATTTTAATTACACTACCAGCATTAGACAGAAAAAGTTCGTAAAGAACATTTTCAGAGAAAGAAGCTAGCAATAATGAAACATAAAGAGAATAAAAAAAAGAATTGCTGAAAGGTAACTAGGCAGAAAAGGGATTACCCAAACAGGCAGTAATTGTTGTCAAACCAACAGTTTGTTTTTAGAAAAAAATATGAGATGTGCAGCCATTAGAGGCTTGTTTCATAAAAAAAGTTCAAATGAAACTTTAATGTTGCTAAGTAAAATTTGCTATATCATTATATTCATCGGCCATCTTAATCGACAACTTTCTAAAAACTTTTTTTCATTTATAATCAAGCCTTAATATTATACAACCACAACACCCAATGATTCATTTTCGTTAATTTAAATTTATTCCTCTTAAGTTTTTTTAAAAAAAGAGAAAACGAAAAAATATAATGATAAAAAAAAGCTAATTATGATTTCTATTAAATTTGTAAACTATATTTTTTTTTCTCTTCAAAATAGCACTAATGAAAAAGAAAATGTAATTTCCGAATTTGAACGGAACTAAATTTGGAAAGAAAAAAATGTTTTCTCCAAATCTATAACTGGTTTTGAAACCCACTGCACTACAAATATATTGTTTTATCACCTGTTATTAAGAAAAAAAAAATCCCACTAATTACATTTCTTATATATCTTTTAAATTATTTCTCAAAAACTTTTTAGTAACTCATATAATAATTAATTCATTAATAATTTAATTAGTGCTTAATGAACCCAATTAAATTTCATTGATTTTTTTTCCTTTAAATTCTCACAATTGTTTCAACTAGTTTCACAATAAAGGGGGGAAAAAAACTCCATCCCCACTTATGGAAATAAACACATTTTTTAAAAACTAGTATTTTATTTTATAAGCATATGAATTTTATTCGAAAAATAAATAGCTTTTTCGTTTATCGTATAATTACATAATTTTTAAAATTGTAGAAATTTCCTGTAACTTATATTCAAAAAAAATTATGACTGTACATTTTTAATCTCATAAAGAGAAGTATGCTGTTATGAGGTTCAGCAAATTATTTTTCATTCAAATTCCTTAGGCAACTATCAGTAGAGACCATTAAAGTCTTGGCTCAGTGCACGGACGGGGCACAGTCCAGTTAAGTGTGTCATGGAGTGAAAAGAAAAAAGAGAGAACAAAGTAATAACAACAAACTTGCCAGCACTTGATCTTTTTATTTCTCTGCAAAAAGTTTATTCACCGTTACAAAGTATTTGTTTTAATTACATCATAATATAAGGCACATGTTTAGCGGCTTCTTAACTTTTTAAAATCATTTTTTTAGAAAGGATATAAAAACATAAAACCTTAAAATTTCGTTAAACTTTTTATGGATGCGTACTTAATATTATCAATCAATTATTTTAGAGAGCCTGCCTGAAAAGAAATACACACTATGCACTTCCTCGCATAAGTTAAATTTTCCAAAAAAGGTATCTAAAATAATAAAAATATATAAAAACAACCTTCAATTTCAAATGGAAGAGCAAAGTATGAATAGGCAAGAAGCCTGTAAACATGCGTCAAGCTCAAGCGTGCTGGTATCTGCAATGCTTAGTTTACTCTCACTTTCTGTTTCAAGAACTTAAGGAACCATTATCATTCAAACAATGGGGAGTATCACTTGCACACCTGCCAATTAGTTGCAGTTACAGCTAGATCTCATGATTGATGATTAATACACTTATGTTATTTTCTATAAAAATAAAAGAAAACAGAAGGTGGGATGCGAATTTCATAATAAAATAATTTCATAAAAAAATTGCCTTATTCTAAAGTTTTTTGTATAGTAGCAATCAAAATCATATAATTTAACAAAGATTTCACCAGAATATTTTTCATATAAAGATAATAATAATAATAACAAAGGTGCAAAATATGGTGCAATTTATATTTGAATCATAATAAAAATAGTAATAAAAAAAAATCCTATATATAAAGAATGTGAAAGGAGGGATTTAAAAAATGAAACTAGTGTAAAAAATTAGCTAATAGGGATTTTCATTACAAAAAACATTGAAGGTGCAAAACAATGAAATAATTTAAATTTTAATCATAATAGACGAGCATCAAAAAAGCCCTACACATACAGAACAGGAAATGATTTAAAAATAAGACAAGTGTAAAAAAAATTATCTAATTGGGATTTTCATCATAAAAATCCAAATAGAAAAATTTCCTAAAAATTAATCATTGAGAATTTTAGCTGAGAATAGAAAGTAGATATCTACTCGGATGAAATTGGATGTCAGATCTAAATCTAGCTGAATTGGCAGGCGTGCATTTATATCACTGTTCACTTTTTATTTTAAAACATGAACTAACATAAATTTTGTCTAAAGACAGAATATCAACAGTAAATACCTTATATATTTTTTTCAGATTATAAATTATAATCGTTTTTTTAATATATAGATATGAGAAACTTATAAATGATAAAAGTAGGAAGGGAAGTTCTAGGGACAAAGAAAAAATTTAACCGAATAATTAGCTAATTTTTTTTCTTTTCTTTTTTTTTCCGAATGAATGCAAGTCTACATTATTAGCTGTAATCCAAACGTAATATATGTAGGGTTTAAAGTCACTGCGATTACTGAAACAGATTTGAACAAAAGAAAGTTATCCTTGTGAGCAAACAAGAGTATTAGGCTCCACATTTAAATGCATTTCGTTGAGGAGTGAGCATGTTTCATTAATGACTCCATTAGATTGCAGTTGAGGCAAACTGGCTTCATCTTCATTCACAGTGCGGAGGAGCTTGAATCCATTGGAACCATCCGGGCCTTTAGGTTGACGAACCAAAATGAGGCGGGGGCCTCCTCCTTCAGATGAAATAGTGCGGATGCGATTCAGTCGCTCTGGTCTTTCCAGAGGTTGTCTTTCCCTGTAAGTATATATATATAAATAATATTTATCTATGGTAAAACAATGATTGAATCATATACCACTGTGCTAATCTGAAATGCCTAAAAAAAAGCATTGCAAAGCATGCTTCGTTATTATTGCAACCATTGTTTATTATTTATTCGTTATTATTGCAACCAAATAGATGTTGTGACAGGGAACCTAACATCTGGGAGTTAGAGGAGATTGTGTCAAATAATTTTTTCTTGTAACATAGTATAGTTATTTATGATAGAAAAAATTAAACAAGGGATTATTTAAACTTCGCAATATTTACTTCAATTTTTCAGATACTTTACTGAAACATTAAAAAATAAAATTGACAATAGGTACCTGTATTTATAAACAATTTTTAATTTGTAACTTACCCCTAATACCCACAGGATAAGTAGCATCCAAATATGAGATGTTACGATAACAGTTTCTTCTCCCAAATTACAGTCCTACTAACAGTTTCTTTAGCCAAATTAATTTTTAAAAAAATATTAATTCATATTTTTATTAATGTTAAAATCCTGTATTTATTTCAACAGTAAGTACTAGCATACCAACTAAAATTACTTTTAAGAACAAGTCAAATGATAAGTAAATAGGGCAGAAAACAAATATTTTAAACTGAGAAAAAGTGTTTTTTTTAAAGGAAATGCTTTCAATAAAGAAGCATCGTTTGATATTGCTCTCTTAAAATCGTTAAATCTCTACAAATCGTAATTGCATTTCTTTTGATTTAAAGATTTAAACCAATGTTTTTTCCCCCAGAAAAATGAAATTATTAAAACTCGTCATAAATTATTGGCACCCCAACAAGAGCTGGGATTATTTTATACGACATCGTAAATTAGTGAGTAATATTACCAAGCAAGCAGCAGAAATCAGTAATAACTATTTTTGTAACCCTCACATTAAAATGACAATAAAAGGTAAAGCAAAAATAGCTTAAAAAAGGAAGAAAAAAAAATAAAAATACAGGTAAGTTAGATAAAGAAGCTATGTAATTATCATCGATATTTAATATATTAATTTGGAAAAATATTGTTTAACTGTCAGATAAAAAGCAGGCATGAACATGAATGTTTAAGAATGGTGGAAGCAACAAGGAGTTAGAGGGAAAGGAAAAATAAATGAAAAGGCAAATTGATTTTGAAAATTTCTCTCAAAAATTATTTAAAATTAGTGTAAATTTTCAAAATTTGTTTTAAGTAATGTAAGATGAATTTTGGAGAAATGAATTTCGTATGTGAGAAGTGGGGGCACAAGCATAAGGAAACAGAGTTCTATATAGAACACATATATAAGTGAATAATTTCAACTTCTGTAGAAAAAACTTTATGCTAAGAAACAACAATTATTGCAAAGCAATTATCAGGGTTGATGAGAGGGTAAGAATTGTGGGTCTAGCCCCCTAGTAAGAAAAAAAGATGAATGATGAGAAACCAGTACGAGGGCTGGTGAACAGAGCAAAAAGTGGGGAATCGTTATATTAAAAAACACAGCACTGTAAATTCAATTAAAACTAATACTGTTATGAAAAGTATCATAAAATTCACACATATAAGAAGACACTTTCAAAACTGAGTGAAACTATTGAATGAAAGCATTACCCTATTTTAACAACACTGCAAGCAGAATATTTTCCAGTCCTCTGATGGTAAACAACAACAAACTCCACTTTATCTCCAGCCTGTATATTACTGTCACCTTTCACTTCAGACATGTGGAAGAACAACTTCTTACCCTCCTCTGCCTCATAGGCGAGAAATCCGAAATTTCCTTTGATAGTATCCACAACTGCCTAAACATTCAAAATAAACAAATTAAGGTATCTTATCATTGTTCAAAATAATTTTTGGTCAGTTTAGCTTTATTATTATAATGGCAGCTATACAATTCAATGCAGAAATTGAGATAACAGGTAAATTTCAAAGCTTGGTTTACATATCTTTAATAATTAGCACTGGTTTCTTTTGTATACATTTAGGTTTTCTTACGTTCTAGTTTTTTTTTTTTTAAATCAACACCTTAGACTACCTTACAATAACTGCAGCTAAACTAAAAATGAATAAAAAATTCAAAATCTATCCTTACTGCATTGAATGTTACAATTATAATTCATAATGATAATAAATAAACAATTTAACTACAGTTGAAATGATTAATTCAATAGGATGCTTCCTGTCAATGCCTTCTGAAGAAATATTTCAGTGAAAACTAATGATTTATACATTATTTAAAATACTTTTCTCATTTTTATTTGATACAATAACTATGATTAATGTTTTCTAATATTACACACAGGTGCAACTCTAAAAAAATTTCAAGACTAAACTTATTTCTTGACCAATTGCACACCAGAATTTTCAGAAATTTATAGCTCACTGACTCAAAAATCTACCTGGCACTTATATTAAATCAAGGATGTGATTATTTTTCTCAAAATTTTTTTCCTTTTATTATTTTTTTTATAGCAATCAAGATAAAAATAACAGCTCTTTATGTCTTTTTACACTAATCACTGAATAATAAACCACTTATTTTTTCATGAAGCTATTTATATCTCTACTTATTTTTTGCTTCACCGTGATTTTTTGTCTTCTATCTTTTTTTCTCTCTTTTTTTTTTTAAAAAAAAAAAACTATTTTAAAACATTGAGGTAAAATGAAATCTGAAGCTTATTTAGACACAACAGTAATACAAATTTTGTGTTAGCAAGCAGTCACTGAAACATTTATAAACTCCAATTTTTGCATACCTTTTACATTTCTGAATACTTGTGTAACAGAAACATCATTACTTGATCATTTTGCAATAATTATGAAAAATAACTTTGTTTTCAATAAAATATATTATTTTCTTTTTAACAGAAAATATTTACAAAATTTTTAAGGAAAAAAGGACATTTTAAATTTAAAAAAAAAAAAAATATTAATTCATGAAATTTAGTCTGATGATTTTTTCTCAAGACTGATTTCAGTCCCCAGGACTGAATAGTGACACCCTTGTATTACATTTGTAATAATAAAAAGACAATTGATTACACATTAATTAATACACTAAAATTGATTACTTTATTCCTAATCATTCTATATAATTTAAAATAAATACCAAAAATCAAACTAACCTGTATCCTAGCTCGAATAGCTTTAATGTTAACAGCTCTCTCTTTTCCTTTCTTAGTGATTCCGATCTGAAATTGGACAACATCCCCTTTCTGGAGAAATTCATGTTTGTCATCTAAGCTTGTAATGCCAAATTCATACTCTGTTAAATTTTCATCCATATTTTCAGCTAAAATCAGAAAAAGATTATTCATTTAAGATTAAGGTCATTTAAGACAAAGACACAATAGTTGAAACATTCATCGAGAACACTGTTATGTATTATACTGAAGTGCTAAGAGTATGGTATGAAATAAAAGGAAAAGATAAAATCTAAATTGAACTACAGTACAGAACCCGTTATCCGGAAATCAGAAAACCGGAAAACCAAAAAACCGGAATGAATTTCAATAAATTTTCCCGCCATTTTTTTTAAAAAAAACTTTTTTTTCCTCATAAGATTTTAGGATTTTTCATTCTTTTTTAAAAGATGTTTACCTTACCATCATTTTGAAAATAATCATCAGTGTATTACTTCATCGTTTTTTCTTCTTTTTAAGATTATTTCCAAATATTTTTTTAGTTGGGTTTAGCAATAAAAAAAACGGCTTTTTGTAGTGATTCAGAAAACCGGAAAAATCAGTTATCCGGAATAACGATGGTCCCGATCGTTCCGGATAATCGGTTCCCTAGTGTACATTACAACAGAAACAATTAATTAATCTTAACCATTTTTGATGAATTTAATCAGAGGGAGAGAAGTATTAAAAATATTTGTGATGATCATTATTAAATCTATACAAATACACTGATAATTAATATTTTTTTTAATCTGCAAGATCTTTAGAAGCATCTCGGAGAAGGTTGCTACACAATCTAAATGGGATAGCGAGCATTCTAGAATTTCCTGTGAATTTTTCCGACAAACTACACCAATATAATTACACAGATAGCATTTCTAGGAAGTAAATTTATCATATGTTTGCTTGCTATTAGATTTTTTAAAAATATTTTCTGCGAAAATTGCATGATATTTTTTTTCTTTCCCACCCAAATCAGTTTAAAAAAGTATATTTTAACAATCTCAAAATAACATAAAAGGCAGTATTAAAACACTAATTACATAATTTGTATAATTTTCAAAAATAAATTTATAAAAGTTTTCATCCTTATCCTTGTATTGGATCTTCGTAAAGACATAATCTAATAAAAACACACTTTATTAGATTAGAAGATTATCATTACATTTAGTCATATTGTTATATTTAGACACCTAATTAAGTTTTTTTACCCAACTTTTTTTAAAGGTATAACCAAAAATTATCTATTAAATTAAGTAGAATGAGATGGGCCGGGCATGTAGTGAGAATGAGCCCAGAACGAACAGCATTGAGAGTCTCTAACGCAACCCCCTCCAATAAAAGGCCAAGAGGAAGGCCCCAAAAGAGATGAAAGGACTGCGTGGATGAGGATTTTGCCATCCTAAAAGTAAAGAACTGGAAAACAATTGCTGGGAGAAGGGCAGAATGGGAAAAGCTTCTGAGGAAGGCCCAGGCTCACAAAGGGCTGTCGTGCCAATGCTGATAACCAAAAATTGCTTTCTCGCACTATCAAAAAAATCTGAACTTTAACAACAATTTATTTGGAGCATAAAACATAGTATTCCATCAAAGTAAATACTTAGATAATATCTGTAATAAATTAAATAAATAAAGAAGAAGTTTACTATGAAAACTGTACATATCAAAGTGCATTGGGAAAAGTGAAACAGTGCAACTACAACAAAAGCAATGTGAGCAGACAAAATGGCATATAATTGACAAGAAATAAAATGTATCATTAATATTTCACAAAATTTGCTTTTACTGGTTTCTCCAATAGTGTAGCATTTATCTGCATAATCGCTGAAACATCAGTTATGAATGTGAGTTTGAGTCAGCTGAAAAATCCCAGTGTATTTATGGTGACTGTTGCATGTTAAATCTATCGGGGTTACAAAAAAAAAGTTCTCATAACAAGTCCAATACCTCTGGGGTAATGAATTGGAAATAAATGATTGGGTCCTCCTTATTTAACGGGCTTCGGTGTGTGTGGGGTTGAAGTCTTACTGTTGGCCATAGATGAGGCCACTGAAAAAACAGAAAATGCACCTTCCGCCTAATTCACATGATTTCAAGCAGGTTTGCTGATTGTCAAATTGCATCTTAGTATTCTTAGTGCATGCAAATAAGGAGTGATTTAATTTTGACTTGCACCTTTTAAAAAAATAAATCACAATTAAATAACAGTTAATAACAAACCCAAGGTTCCTACGATTATACCAATTTTCAAGATTAAGATTGATTTTTAACAGCATTTTAAAATTTATCTATGAATACAAAAATTTATAAAACTAAAATTTTAAATTATTTGCTATCTAGATTTACTCATTATTATCTTAAATAAAAAATTTGTATTTAATAAAAGTTTGAGACAAATTAATTTCCAATAATGATTTATAATTTTAATGATTTAAGAAACTGATTTCAATAAAAGAAAATCATTAAATTAATTTAAACTATTTATTAAAGTAGCAATGACAATAAGACAAATGATAACACTACTGGCTAAACGTTTATAAGGTGTGGAACAGTCCCTGTACTAATGATATTCAAGGAATTTTTAGAGCTGATCGTGAATTTCCTTAAGAATCCTAGCTTTCTTCGGTTTTCAGAGAAAGTGGCAGCTACCCATAATAATTAAGGTACAATGCACAATTATAAACAATGAAATTTCAGTAAGCATTCCTTACCATGAGAAGCCAAACGTATTTTTCCAGAATACTGTTCTTGATCCGGATTGAAGCATCTTACAGGACAAACCACAACACCATTCAAAATTTCAGGTTGAATATCTTCCTTTTGCAGAGTACCTGAAGATAATTTACGTACACATTCTGCGCTCAGTTTGTTACCTTTGTGAGTAACACCATATTCCACTTCTTGTCCAATTTCAAGGGACGATGCATTTCCATCAAAAACACTTTAACAAACAAAAGAATGACAAAATAAATAGATTAAATTTAATTAGAAAATGAACTTTGTATAAACTCCAAGAATAGATTAAAAACTGGGAGAGTGTCTAAGACTTACAATCATAGATCACATATATTATAAACAAAAAAAAGCCAACAAAATAAATGTTTGAAGCATAAAATATACAGTTATTTCTTTTGATTATATAGTTATAAATACTTCCAGAACTGTTCTTATTAGTATTATTTAAAAATATAAGACATATCATTCTGAGCTATAAATATTTTTCTAGCCTTTACAAGTTACGAAGTTGAAGCCTACTTCCAATATATAAAATGCATGAATTTTTAGACAGAATCATGAGAGAATAATTGAATAAAAAAATTTGGATCTGAAGAATACATCACTGCATTCTTAATAAATTGCACACCAGCATGTTTTCTTAATAAGAAATATTAATGGTTGCTTAGCCATTAATATTTCTTATTAAGTAAGGCAAAAATATAAAACATAGTAATTTATTATGATTCCCAAAAAGTTTGAAAATTTTATTGAAGTTCATTTTTACAGTTGTTTACTAATGACAGTTGTTTACTAATTTCAGTTGTTTACTAATTACAGTTGTTTACTAATTACAGTTGCTTACTAACAAAGTTTCACTAACTTTTTAAAAAATATTACAATAAAAAAACTATAAAATTAAAAAAAATATAAATTTTACATTTTAATTAAGATTAAATTTACACTGTTAAGATTTACACTTAAAGCAGTTTAACTTTATAACACTATTTATCATTATAATGCATATTTTCTCCCATCTATTTCTGGAAAAACTTCTTGCGGTTCAGTGTAAGCTGAAATCAAGAAGATAAGAGTAGATGCGTTTTTTATACACAACATAATTTCATGATATTTTAATATTCATAAATATTTCACCTTACAAAATTATTTTATAGTTACACATAGATCAAATCATTCAAGGAATAGCAAAATCAAACAATTCCTTGAAAGAGAAAAATGTTTGATATAACTTTAAAAAATCTAACTAATCAATAAAATTTTTCAATTACCTATAATGAAAAAATACTTCTTTGTCATGATCTTCAGTCTCAATAAATCCAAAGGTATCTTTCAAGGCAGCAACATATCCTCTATGAGTGTAACGGAAACCATTTCGTATTTTTGACATTACTTTCACATGTTTAGCATACAATTTGTCATCTTTGGTAAGTAGCATAAATTCAACCTGAAATGGCAGTTTATTAGTCAAATGAAACTAAAACACAATTTCTAACAAAACAATATGAGAAAATAGGGTTCCAACTTAATTTCAGAAGAAAAAAAAAACTGCCAGACTTTTCCAGCCAGGTATTTCAGGAAAATTCAGACCATATTTTATCTATATCATACAATTTTTCATTGCAAAACTGATTTTGTTTTTTATTTGTAATGTTAAACATTAGATATTGTGAGAGAAAAAAATACCATTGAATGAGAATAGTTTCACTAAAATGTAAAATTTTTACTACAAATAATTCTAATAGATGACAGAATTATATAAATCCAATCTCAATAACCTATTACTATTTATTATTGAAGATTTTAAGACTGGTTATTTTCCAGGTACAATGTAGGAATTTTCCATGTTTTTGTAGAAAAAGCAACTTTCCCACACAATTCCAAGCATTTAGGAGTCAAAATAAAATTCCCTGACATTCCAAAGTCTTCAGTGGGAGCCTTAATGAATATTATAAGACAAGTGAAAGAGAAAAAATTTTAAATACTCATTCTATTAAAAATTTTGAAATACATTTTGAACATTCTTTTAGAAAAATAAAAAAACTACTTTAAAATGACACAAATCTAGTTTAAGAATTCTTATATGGTAAAAAAAGACCAACTTGAAAACATGATGAGAAAGCAATTGATATTAACATTATACAGATCTCTAGTAGAGACTTAAGAGTTTTAATTAGTCGGATCAGAGAACAAAATTTTGATTTTAAGTTTTTCTCCTCCCGGACACAAAATGAAGCTATAATAAAAACTTCCACCCGATCACTTACTTTATCACCGGCTCGGGGGAAGGAGCGATGCTCACAATCTTGTGTAGTGAAATACACACTTTCTTTGGCCCCATTTTTGTTGAGAGTAATAACGCCCTCCCCCGACAATTCATCACTATTTTCTTCTTGGGCAGATTTCTTACTACCTCGTTGTGGGCTTTCTAAAGACCAACGGGATGGAGCTTCTTTTTCAACCACTCCAATATAGTAATCATCTGAGTTTCTTTGGTCCTGTTTTGAAGAGCCATTGGTTGGAGGAGTAACTATTGTTCCTGGTGGAAGCACTTTGATACGAAGTGCATGGATTCTGCCAGGAGAAGCAGGATCCTAAAATACGAAGAGAAAAAATATTCATCAAAATTGCGGAAATATTGTACTTTTAAAAATTAAATTTAGGTATTCTAAAAAAAATTTAACAATGTTGCAAAACTCAATCAATTATTACTAAACAGAGTATTTGATGCACATTTATATATTTTAATTTGATATACAATAGATTCGAAGCATAATTTTTGTTTGGAATTTAGAGCTGTGGAATGCAGAAAATGGTATTAAGCATTTAGGGGGGGGGGGAAATAGAATCATCTAGTTTTTATTTTTATTTAAGAAAAAAAAGGTTAAACTGCTGCTCAAAAGCAATCAAAACACAGTTCTTAAGTTTCTTATTAATTGAAAGAAGTATAAATTGATTCTTGGACCGGGCAAGGTTGATTCAGCCTTCCATCCCTTCAATGGGTCAATAAAATAGTACCAAGTATGCTTGGGAACTAAACACTGAGGGTTCCACGTTGGGCTGACCTTTCAACCAGAACATCTGCTCTTGTACCTCCGAGCACAAAGGTCAAGAAAAATGAGATGAGCACAGAGGCCTTGTCCCTCTATGGGCTTTCATGCCACTAAGTTTAGTTTATTGATTGAAAACACATTAGTGATAAAAATTAATCTAATCTCTTAATAATTATCAACAGCCTGGTCAATATTAACAGCCAGCAAATGAAAGAAGTTCGAAGTATAAAATAAAGTATATTTGTGCAGTTTGTAACATATAACGACGGGGAAATACTAACAAGGGAGTTTATATACTCACCCACCAGAATTAAGTTTATTAGTTGCTCTTTTCATTGCTCAATAGCATTTTATCTTTTAACTTAGGGGCTTGACGACAAAATACTTTGAATAGGCATAACATTTGTATTAGAGAATTTCTAGCAATATAATAACTCCTAATTTCTATCGATACATAATTTTTAACAGTTAGGAGGAAAAATAATTAATTGTTAAAATCGTTTGCCACTTACTGGTTAGGTAACATATTACTTATTCAAAATTATACTGGTTATCTTGCTTTCGAAGCAAAAACTAAAATCTTGATTTAAAACAAATTACCTGAGCAGTAGTAAATTCAACTTCATCCTGAAGTTTTATGCCATCTTCTGGGTTAAGGAGCTCACTTAAACGAAAGTATACCCGATTTTCTCGCACACCGTAAGAAATAAATCCAAAAGCCTCTTTTAAAGAAGTCACAAATCCCTGTAAAGAGATTTTACAAAAACATATACATAAACCACTCATCAAAGCTGGAAGCATTTTTATAATTTATGCATTTCGGAAATACCTGCTCTCGTTTTTCTTTAGAAAAAGTAAATTCATTTATAAGAAGTTCAATATTAGTAGCTCTTTGAAGATTGTCTCGTCGATCGGTGGCCACATTAAACTGCACCCAATCACCAAGTTGAAGGGTGTATTCAGCTTTGGGATCACGTTCACCAAAAGGATAATAAATCACACTACAAGAAAAAGGAGAGATACTCATTAGTCTTATTAAATATAATGAAAAAAAAAGGGATTATACAATGGAAAATATTAAATGGATAACACAATTTTTAAATGAGCTAAGGATTTAGTTGAACTGTTATGGTAATACAGATTGTAGTTTTGTATAGGGATTATACCAGACATTTTGAAAAAGTTCAGTTTTTGTAAATTTGTGAAAACACTCAATTTTCTGAAGCTATCAAGGGTCTGTCTAGGTTTTTTTGAGAGGTACCTATTTAGTGAAAATTTAGACATAATTTGTGAAAAATTAAAAAATCAACACAAAAACATAGTAAAAATATAGATTTATCGTTTCTTAAGGATACAAAAATAAAATTTTAAGAAAAAGTATTTTGTGAAACTATTGTTTTTACTAAAAGTGAATTTGTGAAGGTACCGCTAAACGGTAGTAAATTCGGCCTGGATAGACTCCTGGATATGTCTACTATAGCATGGAGTTTTTGCAGCTAATTTTTTGTTTTTGTAAATATGTGACAATAAGGTCCTGTTTCAGTAGAAATTACAAACATGTCTTTCAAAAAGGGTTTAGTTTTAAAATTATGAATTAATCCTTTGACGCAGATGGGACACCGGCGTCTCTTCAATATATTTTTTCTGACACTCCACAGGTAAAAATATATTATGTATTTTTTAATTATCAAAAACAATTTAATAGTAACTAAAATATTAAGTTAGTAGTACTCAGTAACAAATATTTTTTTTAAAAATTTATATTCATAATTTTATTAATAATTGATTTTGTAAATTAAAGAAATTTCAATCATGAACAACTGTTTCTCTTAANAGCTTTGGGATCACGTTCACCAAAAGGATAATAAATCACACTACAAGAAAAAGAAAGGGATTATACAATGGAAAATATTAAATGGATAACACAATTTTTAAATGAGCTAAGGACTTAGTTGAACTGTTATGATAATACAGATTGTAGTTTTGCATAGGGATTATACCAGACATTTTGAAAAAGTCCAGTTTTTGTAAATTTGTGAAAAAACTCAATTTTTTCTGAAGCTATCAAGGGTCTGTCTAGGTTTTTCTGAGAGGTACCTATTTTGTGAAAATTTAGACATAATTTGTGAAAAATTAAAAATTATATTAAAAAATCAACACAAAAACATAGTAAAATTATAGATTTATCGTTTCTTAAGGATACAAAAATAAAATTTTAAGAAAAAGTATTTTGTGAAACTACCGTTTTTTCTAAAATTGAATTTGTGAAGGTACCGCTAAATGGTAGCAAATTCGGCCTGGACAGACTCCTGGCTATGACTACTATAGCATGGAGATTTTACAGCTAATTTTTTGTTTTTGTAAATATGTGACGATAAGGTCCTGTTTCAGTAGAAAACACAAACACGTCTTTCAAAAAGGCTTTAGTTTTAAAATTATGAATTAATCCTTTGACGCAGATAGGACATCAGTGTCTCCTCAATATATTTTTTTCTGACACTCCACAGGTAAAAATATATTATGTATTTTTTAATTATCAAAAACAATTTAATAGTAACTAAAATATTAAGTTAGTAGTACTCAGTAACAAATATTTTTTTTAAAAATTTATATTCATAATTTTATTAATAATTGATTTTGTAAATTAAAGAAATTTCAATCATGAACAACTGTTTCTCTTAAATCTAAATAATTTTAAATAAGTGCAAATTAGAAAAACTATTGCTTAGAAAAGAGCCGTACTTGAAAGACTTTTCCTTTACCAAGAAAAAGACACTGGTGTTTTATAACCATAAATTATTAAAATGATAGTACTAATGTTTTCACTATTTTGACCTAAATTAATAATAAAAAATGAAAATATATTTAGTAAAAATTTTGCCTCAAAAGGTTCAAAATGTATGCCATTGAATCTGATTTTTAAGAGAGTTTTGTAATGGTTCCACTTTTAAATTAAAAAACATGAAAGATACCAGCACTATATTCAAACTGAAATATTTTTAAATGTCGATTAATAGAAAAAAATATTTCTAAAGATTACGCCCACTTAAGTTATAGAAACTTTATTTTTGTTTGAATTATGGTATATATTTCCTCATGTATTTATTTTTATTGTCTTGATTTCTTATTCATTCATCAAGTGATGTTTTTGAATAAAATTTTTAACCCATTGTTAGGTTAATGACATACAAATAAATGGCTGGATTCAAGATAATTTAGACTGTTTGTTACTTTCACAGGATAAAGATTTGATTCTCATGTATAGTTTAAGTTCACGTGCAGTTTTAGTGTGAATATAAAAGGTATTCAATAGTCTCTAATAAGTTAAACTACTTATATTTCAATCTATCATAACATTTGTTCTAAATATCACAAAAAATATTCACAGCAAATCTGAGGTTAGCAACCTCAGAGATTTAAAACCTGCATTTTTTGGTTATTTTTAAATAAATAATGTTTAGCAAGATGTCATTACAATGCTTACTCATTATTTAACTGCACTTGAATTTTTCCAGGCAAAGCATCATTGGAGCGAGATCTACTTTTTTCTATAACTTCAGTCACTTCTCCAATTAATAAATCTGGACTTATATCTTCAAAAACTACAGTCCCCAAAGGTAAGTTGACAACATTACATGCAACCTCTTTGTTCTGTAAGAAAAAAAAAGTATGAAGAAACTCTGCTTAAAATTTAAACTGAGAACAGACAACTAATGATATTGGGCAAATATTATATAAAAGTACTATAGTTTCCATGTAACACAATTAAATATTTGCAATTAAATAATTTAACCACTTGCCTTTATTCATTAACCTTATGCAATCAATATTAAGTTGTATAAGTCATATTGCCACAATGAAACAATTCTAAGTGAACATAACTTAAGAAATATAAAGAAAATTTTTAGGAAAATTTTTTTTACAAAAATAAAATAATAAAAAAAGAAACTTACATTTCTTGTCTGTACAGAAAATTCCACATCATCTCCAAGGTTAAGATTTTTAAAAGCTTTGCATTCACTGGAATGAAAAAATATCTAAAAAGAAAACATAGTTTTTTAAAAGAAAGAAATTAGTATAACAACAAAGTCATTTTCTAAAGGATAAAAAACTATATCTCACCTCTTTAACTACATCTGCTCGTTCAATAAAACCAAATGTTTCCTTTAGTGCACAAATTACACCCTGATAACGTGCAGGAGGAGGTTTCTCCAAACGAATATCAAAAGCCCTAAGGTTTCCTGTATTTTTATCAGTAGCAATTCGAAATGTGACTCGATCACTAGGCTGCAACTCTGCCGCTTCATCGATATCGTCTGCGGAGTACGGCAGGAAAAAGCATTCACCTCTGTTTTCATATGCAACTCTTCCCTACAAAAAAGGAAAGGAAAAAAAAAACATTATTTTGGGGGTTAATTTGACAAGATGAAAAAATATTTATTTTTTGTATTTAATCTGAAAAAGAAAGTCATTATTTATTCACAAGTCAAACTAATCAGAAACTTTTATAATCATGTTCTTAAGCAATAAAGATAGAAAGGTTGACGCGATTTAAATAACTTGATTCACATTGCAAATTAAATCACTTAATCATTTTTTTTAATTGATTGAAAAAATTGTTGAAGGTATCTTTTACAGGGTGTGCAGCCAAATCTTTCAACCAAAAACAANAAAAAAAAAAAAAAAAAAAAAAAAAAAAAAAAAAAAAAGCAACATTCAACTATCTTCAGGGTATAACATATTATATCTTTCGAAAGCATAATTTCTTAAGAAAGTTAAATTTTTTGAATTAACAATTACAACAATTACATTTTTTAATATTCATAATATTTAATTTTGGTTACATTCAGCATAATTTTATTTTTTTCGCCAGTTAAAATTTTAAAAATCTGATATGGACATTATATCATTTTCAACCTCAAACTTGGAAAAACATGAAAGTATAGAATAAGATTTTCAAGAAATCTGAACATAAAATGAACAAACTAGTAAAGATCTTACTTCAGTATTTTCTTTTATTGCTGGTGTAATGAATCCTGAAACTCTTTCCTCACACATTACTCCTCGAACTTCAGATGTAATTTTGCAAACTGAACTTGCAATCGGCTTCCCAGTACGTCGGTCATATGTCATTTCAAATTCAACTGCATCTGAAAATTTTGCACAAAAATAAAATAACTGTATAGCTATGTAGTACTATCTTCCAAAAATCTGGCTGTGTCATTTTAAACACTAACAATTATATGACTAGCAAATAGTTAAAATAAAGCAAATGATGTACTTTTATCATGAAAAAATATCAATACTAGGCCTACCAACCTCAGAAACGCCTGTGACTTTTCACGACAAGGAGCATAATGTGTAAATAAAAATATAAAATTATTTTTAATATTTAAAATTACTTTTTACCTTAAAAAATTACAAACAAATAAATTAAAATTAAAAAAAAAAAAATTAGATTGCTTTAGAAATTTTTAAAAATGTAAATTGAAAAATTTTTTTAAACCTTTTTCCTGGCTTGCCTGCCCAGTCAACTAATTCTTGAAAGTTTGCTTTAACAAAGAACAGAATTAAGCCGGAACTTTTGTTATACAGCTAAATAATCTCTCCAAAATCGCACATCTAGGCGGAAGGGTCGAAATTGCCATTTTCAACTTGTGGAAGAAAATTTTTTAGGGATGTAGGCAACCTGTGCACAGGTCCTCAGATTTAAAAAATAAATAAATAAATAAACTACATTAACATTAATACTATAATTCAAATGTGATAATGTTTTAATAATGTTAAGTCACAAAAGTAATACTTGTTACAGGTTAACTTATAAACTATCCAATCAACCTTAAGGTACTAAAAATCTGTAAGTAGAGATTCTCCAGGCTATAGAGGGGGGGAAAAACTGTAAGAAAGTTAATGCACAAAAAAGCTTTTCTGTTCAGCAAATGTTCAATTATTCTAAAAATAAACTTGAAAAAACACATTTTTTTTTTGATGATTGTCAATAATTAATTTAATCCATGTTTTAAGCACTGCATATTAATATTCATTTTGTAAATAATTCATCAAAAAGTGCGAGAAAAATTTCTCTTCATGCACATTATAAAAAATGTACCTAAGTTATTTAAAGTTAAACATAAAAAAAACTGAATAAAATCGATAAGTAGTTTACCTTATTTAGTCCAAACTTTATTATGCGTATTTTTTAATAATTATTACATTTTAGTTTAATTTGAAGAAAGCATTACTTATTAACTGAACTTAACACAAGATAAAAAAAAATTTTTTTAATATTTTGTTTATTAAAAATTATTTTGTTCAAGATTCACACTGATTTTTTTTAAAGAAAAATAAAGATAAACCTAAATTTACATGATAGCATTTCATATTTAAAAACTTTCTCTTATTTAAAAATAACTTTTTCTATTAAACTTATCTTTAAACATAGAAGTCAGAACAATATATTCGACATAATGTATAAAACATGTTAATAATAAGAAAAATGAAATCTTACCACCAAGTTTTAGGTGTTCAATATTATCTGAATACTGACTGTAATGGAAAAAAAGCCTTGCTTGACGTTCACAACACTGTATAAATCCATAAGAATGCTAAAATATAAAAGCAGAATGAGAAAAAAAAAATAAAGAAATTTAATTTGGAAATAAACAAAAAAAGCATTCTTGTGTTAAGGTAGGTTATAAGTTACTATCAATTATGATTTACCTAATTACAAATACATAACAAAATTTTGTTCAACACTACTTTTTGATAAAACTTATACTTCTGTGGCTGTGACTAAACTGCCTAAACAAATATAAAACTAAAGTACTAGTGATTTTTTTTAAATTAAAAATTACAAAATTTTTTCCTAATGGGATTTTTAAAAATTCACCTTTTTTGATAATTAAGCTTCCACTATATTCCCCTCCCCCAGACTAAATTAAAAACCTGCTAACAAACTTATTAAAAATGTACTGGTCTATATCAAATAGTCTACGATTTATATGGGTATGAACTGATTACCAAATTTTAAAAAGAATAATAAAATTGATTTTCTTTTGTAAAAAAAATAGGACATAAATTATTATTTTAAGAGAATTAAATCAAACTCTAGAAGGAACTTTACTTTCTTCAGTTTATATATACAGTGAGACTTCTCAGGAGTGACCAATCTCTGTTGCACAGTAAAATGGTCATAAATACAAGTTGGTCCTTCTTAGGGATTATTTCCACTTTATTTCAAAATGTTATCGAACATACATGAGTTTTTGTAAACAATTTAAATTTTACTCTGTGTCATTTTCTTTTTGCGGAAATGCAACTTGTGTTGGCGTCATAACTGGATCGATGAATAAAATTTAACCCCAATGAGACCCCTACTGAGAGAATTAAGAGTAAAATCAAATTTATTAATTATGAATGATAGAACTATTTGAAATAAACAATTATATTTTTCTGTTTAAGTTTGCATTTAATTTTATATCAGAAAAAGTAGTTTACTTAAAAAAATAAGGTTTGCTTGAGAAGCTTGGTTTTTCGAAAAGAATTTTTTAGAATTTAACTTTTAAATCTAAAATTTAATTGTTGATTGCATCGTCTTCAGTTGACTCTGATCCTAGCATGAGGTTGTCAATCTCTTTCAGCAATCGTCAAAAGGAGCTCTCTAAATAAGAGCCACCCACAAACATTTTGAATATGGATGGGTGGTCTAATGTAAACAATAACAAGCATCCTTAAACCGGAAGAAATGTAGAAAATTTCCNAGAGAATTAAATCAAACTCTAGAAGGAACTTTACTTTCTTCAGTTTATATATACAGTGAGACTTCTCAGGAGTGACCAATCTCTGTTGCACAGTAAAATGGTCATAAATACAGGTTGGTCCTTCTTAGGGATTATTTCCACTTTATTTCAAAATGTTATCAAACATACATGAGTTTTTGTAAGCAATTTAAATTTTACTCTGTGTCATTTTCTTTTTGTGGAAATGCAACTTGTGTTGGCGTCATAAAAACTGGATCGATGAATAAAATTTTACCCCAATGAGACCCCTACTGAGAGAATTATGAGTAAAATCAAATTTATTAATTATGAATGATAGAACTATTTAAAATAAACAATTATATTTTTCTATTTAAGTTTGCATTTAATTTTATATCAGAAAAAGCAGTTTACTTAAAAAAATAAGGTTTGCTTGAGAAGCTTGGTTTTTCGAAAATAATTTTTTAGAATTTAACTTTTAAATCTAACATTTAATCGTTGATTGCATAGTCTTCAGTTTATTCTGATCCTATCATGAGGTTGTCGATCTCTTTCAGTAATCGTCAAAAGGAGCTCTCTTAACAAGAGCCACCCACAAATATTTTGAATATATTTAAATCTACTTATTTGTTTTGTTATTATTTTTTTGTTCCGATATTTTTGCGTGTTTCCTTACTTTACCTTTTCCACATTTGATGCGGAGATTTCCAGATTCACTGGGAGAAAGGTTTTGATGGTCTCCCCCAAAGGTTTTCTTCAACACAAAGTCTGTGCCGCCCAAAATTGGTAGTAAATAGAGGAAGTCACTACACAGAGGTGGTCTTTCCTGGATGTTTCATTGTATATACACACAGCAGAGCGCCATTAAAGAAAAATACGGATATTTGGACAATATTGAAAAATGGCTATTAGAATATTTTTAAGTAACACCCTTTCACACTTTTTCCAGGCTTAGAATTGGCAATTAAAGTAGTGCCTATTATTGCATATTACAAATGACGCGTTTAAAAGTTTTAGAATTTTACTAGAAGACAGTTCCCCCATTAGAAATTACTTGCTACCCACATTGCAACTGTACCGAAAGAATGTGAGTTTCTTTCCAAGATCACCAAGGGACAAAAGAAACCGTTTTTCGACCACTTTCAGACATTCTGAAAATAAAAAAGTAACTTTACAATTTTTATTTTGAAGAAGGTGGGAATAACACATGACCTCTATGATCTAGATATTTAGACACTCCAGCAATTCAGAGTTCGGATAATTGCCTCTCCACTGTAGAGATATAAAGTTACATCTCAGGGTCTGTCCAGGCCAAATTTACTACCGTTTAGCGGTACCTTCATAAATTCAACTTTAGGAAAAACGGTAGTTTCACTAAACACTTTTTCGTAAACTTTTATTTTTGTAACCCGTAAATCCATATTTTTGTGTCGATTTTTTAATATAATTTTTAAGTTTCACAAAATATGTCTAAATTTTCACAAAATCGGTACCTCTCAGAAAAACCCAGACAGACCCCTGATCCTGATGAAGGATCAGTTATTGAACTTCCTAAACCCTTTACTGGTTTATTACAAAATGCTTATGGTTTAACTAACTATCAAATTTAGCAGTTATGGTAAGAGATGTTGTATATAGAAAATGTTTTATAGTCTAATGAAATATTTATAAACATAACTAATAATTTCTAAAACTGCATTAACACAAGGCAAAAAAGATTATTTCAGAGAAAATCTATGAACAATGACTTTTTGGTTTAAATCTTGTATACCAAAAGTTCAACAAAATAGCTTATTTTTTATAAAAACTTTGTCCTAAAACCTTTTTTTCAAAAAAAAAAAGTTTATTATAGAATTGGAGAAACAAATAGAGCTACTACAAAAAACTACATTTACATACATAGTGCTTACGAAATGCTTACAAGTAATTTTTCAACAATGCCTGTTTCTCTGGTAATGCCACTGGGACTAGAACTATTGCTGTTTTGACAATCGTCGTTCGTTGTTTTATTGAAAGATGGAGATCGGTGACAACTGGGCATTGCAGAATCTTGAGCTGACGGCTGGAAGTTCTGTAGAAAGAAAAATACAAAGTTTATTGAATGAATAATACGGTAAAAAATTTTATACAAATATTTTTATGCTAAATAAATAATCCTAAGAAACTGAAACAAAGATATTACTTGATTAAAAAACTTCATGGATTGAAAAACGGAAAAATAAATCTGAGAAACAAAACTAGAAAAACTACAGTAACCAAAAGAGGAAAACGGAACAAGAAAACCCACAGTGAGGAAAGACGAGAGGGGAAAGTTATGGTAAAATGAATTTTCGTGTACTTGGGCGAGGTGGTTAGGAACTAATGTCGTTAACAAGGGAATCAACATTTATATGAATAAAATAAGATTTCAGAGCATCAGGGTGATCTGTCATATCAGGATGATCTGATATGACTGGGGTGAAAATTTTTGGCATTGTAAAAATCTATTTATGCCCAAGATTCCAACAGTGTGCAGCAATTGATGATCTTACATTTTCTTAGTAATGGACATTTTCATCATGTTCTTTAACTCTGAATTTCAAAGAGAGTCTAGTTTGCCCAACGACAAATTATATGCACTATTATTATCAGCATTGAATAGCTGATGCAGATTCGATTTATAACTATTGATATTCAACTTCATGAAATTTTGAACCAAGCCCAGAAAACAAAAAAACTCCTAAATCAAGCATTGGGATAAATTTGTCACCACGGAAGACTTTTTGACAAAACTAACCAGTATTTGTATTACCATAAAAACCACTTGCAGTACGGCTAAGAACAAAGATATTCTAACTGATGATCAATCTACCACTGAGGATAATTTACTTTAGCACTGTGGTCATTTCAATAAGAGTCAACCAGCCAACATTATTATTTGAACTTGAATCGCCAAGGGGTGTCAGACAAGGTGTGTAATATTTATAACACTAACAAAGATCATTGCTAGAGTTCAAACTAACATAACAAATATGTGTAAAAACTATTTCTTCCTAATAATGTATAGTAAAAAATAGTTTCGGTCAACCGATTATTCGGCAAAAAGGCCACATACTGAATAGTGGCTGAATATTCTTTACATTTCTAATTCAGTATTCTCAGCATAATGTAATGACGAAAAGACAAAATTAAGGTAGAAAGGTGAAAAAATTTAAATAATTCAAAATAATTTCAAAAGTCTAACTACACACATCACATTAAACTAATACTGTAATAGTAACATTATAGAATAACCAAAATAGTTTTGCATGCATTTCATACATGTTATTTTTTAATAAGACGTACATGCGCTTTAAAATGAAAGTTGATATAATTTGCATACTTTTGATTTAGGGTACACGAGCTAAGGTCAAACCTAGCCTTTGAATAATTTTTACAGAATGGATCTCTCAAAAATTGCAGCAATAATAATAATAAATGAAAAATACCAATCGTAAGAAAACGAGCCAGCCTGCTTCAATTTGCTCATATCACCTTAAGCATTCTGCTTTTCATTTTTTTAAATAAATTTTCGGTAAACACTTATCCATTTAAAGATTAAAATAAAAAAAATTACTATAGCACTTATATTAGTATATTAGGTACCTATTAAGGCCACTAATTAAGAAATACAGATGTCAATAATATTATGGTGATAATTTAGTCTCTAAAAATGAATAATACTAATTTTCCTTATATGCATTGATTGAAGCAAGCTTAAATATGATTAAAAGAAATACAAATAATAGAGCCAAAAAATATGTGTATCTCGTACTCATACAAAAAATACATTACAATATAAGAGATATGTAAACAAAAAAGTGCCTAGACTAAGAGCAAAAGGTACTACACTCCTGAATAATTTATGCTTATTATGCATGCAACCAAAAAAAAAAAAAANAAAAAAAAAAAAAAAAAAACCACTTTTTTACAGAATTTTTCAAATTACCACAAAATTGCCTTTTCCAACTATTTACAAATATTTAACTATTAAAGATGAAATTAATTAAATTTTCAAAATTATGAATTATTAGTTATCAAAAAACATGAAATTCTATACAAATAATAACATAATCGCAAATATATTATTCTTTATTCGGATATAAATTCATAAATTACTTATTACGATTCATTTAAGATAAGATTATTCCTTTGTATCACATTTTTCATCAAGTAATAATTGTTTTGTCAACTTCTAAAAAATTTCCAAAAAGAAAAATATTTTAATCATAAGGTACATTTTCTACAAGTTACTAAAAATCAAAATAAAGAGGAAACTCCATAAAATTCCAAACATCACAACATTTGCTAAAATAAACATCAAAGTTATTTAAATATATTTTGGTTTATCTTAGTTGTTTAGGTGAACATTTAAATTACCTAATTTAACAAGGATATACCAGAACACAAGTAGAGCGAACACGATCTATAACCCGAACTTCAAGTACCCTCTTTTGATTTTGGTAATTTTAATTTTTGATTAAAAAAATATCACATTTGTTGTTTCCCTTTATGTTTTTTTTTCTTTTTTTCATTATTATTATTATTTGTTTTTTAGTTTCTTGCTAGCTACTACATGAAAGTCTCCAAAATTGCAAGATCACAATAAGGAAGTTTTTCTTTTTTGAAAATAGGTAAAAACATGGAATTTTAATTATATTATTTATATAAACATAGCATAATAAGCACAGGGACTGTTTTAAATTTTTGTACATCATTAAAATTAATAATGTATCACAAAACTTTATCAATTAACAAAAATATATCAAATATTAAAACAAAAAAAAACATATTTAGTGTCTTTTCAAGCAGTGTGCTGAACCCCAGTAGGCCCTGGCAATAAAAAACCCTTATATAATCAATTACATTAAAAATTATTTTAGATAACATTTAAAAAAAGCAAAAGCATTTAATAAAAATATAAACAAAATCCTTTAAATTACCTTCCACTGAGGGCTTGCCATTTAGAATCGATAAATTTGATATATCCAAGGGAGAAAGGCAGCAGACTTTGTTTTCTTTTAAGGTGGTCTTAATTTCAAGGAGGCCAAAATATTTGGGTAGAAATTTAGCAGATGGAAGTGCCTCAGATGTTTAACAGTGAGTGTAGATGTGTTCGAGCTGACTTGATCTTTTGTTCCTGAGCTGTTTGAATGAATTTGTCCAAGTTAAAATGTCATGCTAAAATAAAGAGAAAAAAACATGAATATTTATGACAAAACACAACAAATAACATTTTTATTACCCATTAATACTAAGACATGTACTATATTTTATTAGTTTTATGAATAAAACATTCGTAAATTACAAATAGCTTAAGTAAAACACAAATAATTAAAAGTAAACAAAAGGTTTATACAAGTTATATGTCGTACATATACATTTAATTAAAGTCGCAAACACTGTTCTGGGCTCACTTGTTATCTAGAAAAAAAAGCCTAGTTTGAAGAAGGAAACAATGTTAAATAATATTTGAACTTATTTTATGAGCTGAAATACATTTTAAAAACTTGAAATGGATAAAAAATTAGTCACACAAATATTTACAAACCTCGACAAATCACATCACCGACAACATGCCGCCATCTTAGGATTTGGTTGATACATTTTTGAGTTGAATTGCAATCTCCTGCTTACAAAACTTTTTATTTTTATCCATGTTTTTAAAAACTACTTGGAAATTAGCGATCATATAAATAAAGTTATGAATTATAAATATAGTTTAATTTAAGAAAGCAAGGATAAATATATTGTTTTATCTAAAGAGATAAGAAAAGAAAAAGTAGATTGAGAAATGAGTATGCAAATTAAGCGTCTGAAAAAACTGAAAATTCAGAATAAACTCTATGAGAAGAGAGAGACACGATAAGATTGGATCTTTGAGGATATTTATGAACGAAATATTTAAAGTCTCGGGGAAAGCGTGCTTGTAATACCAATAAAAAGTCCGACTTAATGTCCTCTAATGTTATTGTTTTGTTATTAACATCTGAGATTTTACATTAGAAGATGCTTCGTACATCACAGTTTGCTAAAATTCTCTACAAAAATAGAGATTTAAAGAAATTTTTAGCAAATTATGGAAACATAACTCGATCTATGAGTAGTGTTACGAGTAAGTAAAATTATTGGTTTAGTAAAGTTTCAGAATGATTAAAAATGACTAGTGTATATGAATAGTGGTTTTTAAGAAATTTATAATTTTATCGAGAAAAGTTTCTTATTGATTAGATATAATTGCACACCCGTATGATAAATTAAAGGTTATCCTAAATTTCATTAGATTTGTTGCTGTAGTATTAAGTATTTACAAATGGTTTAAAAAAATTTCGGGATCACTTGCTCTTAACTAACAATAATAATTGTCTCACATACTATTTTTTTATTATAATAAACGGTCATTGGTTAACGCAGAGCTACCATGTCTCTTAAACCACTGAACCACTAATTGAAAATATAGTAGTAGAGCGGTATTCAAATATAATTTTGGGAACATTTCCTATCAGTATCCACCTAAATTGTCAAGTTTTGGGAATAACAGGACAAAACTCACTAAGCACCTGAGAAGCTGCGAGAAGTCATTAAAGAATGGAGTAAACTCAAAAGGTAAAAATCATAGTCGCTTCTATACCATTTTGTATTATTTTTAAATTTATTTCACAGCTAAGAACTGGGCAGTTTTACTTGAGGATATTTGTTGGTGGGAACGTGCTGATTAGAAAACATCCCACATTCACACACCCAATTCTAAGATCAACTACAACTTGAGCTACAAGGCTAACTGCAACAGTCACTATGTAAATTTAAGTAAAAAAGAAAATGTGAACCTATGGGATACTTGTTTACCTAAAGATTGGAGAAGCTTATGGCTTACGCTTTTGCATGTTATAGTATTTATCATTTATAGGAACCATTAAGCAAGTTCGCCAACACAAAAAAATTCCAGATTCTAGCTTTGAAAGGTCACTACCTATTGATCATACTCATGTGTATAAAGTTGGACAGTATCGCAATCATTTATGATTACAATACTTATCAAATACAGTCATTCTTGCTGTCTATAATTGATAAAAACGATAATATCAAACAACAATATGGTATATAGATTATTTAATCTTTATAGATGATATAGCATATAGAAGAAAATAATTTCCTAAATATTATTCATTTTGATAATTTTTGAATACAGTATTATTTTGAATGATCATAAATTTTATTTGGGTAGTGAAAGAATTAGCCTTTGTAAAAATAATATGAATTACCATAAATGTATAGTGTATAAGTTACATTCCAGGTAAGTTGACTTTCCAAATCCCTAAATTTTACAAAAATCAGGGGGTTAACCAAAGTTCTCTATAGGGATATAAAAAAAAAGAAAGGCTGGATGCTTCCTCACAGAAAAGGGCACTTTGAGTTTTGAAAGTGATGTAAGAAGATTTAAAATTGCGTGAATAAGCATCGAGATATTGGCAGATTCCGACGCAGTTCCAAATATTCAAATTGGCTAAAATTAGCCCAACGAAATGAATCTAATTGTAGGAAAATCATGTCCACGTAAATGTCTCGTTAGCAGGATATAGGAATAGGAAAACATTCAAAATTTCACCAGATAACAAGTTTTTGATTCCCGGAAGCTTGCAAACCAATGGTCTTGAAATACGATGCCATACTTGCGATTTTTGTGGAAAAATCAATGCCCTGTTTCTAGTTTTTTGACCCAGAAGAATGATACAAAAAACCCGGAATACAGTCACCCCTGATTCGTTCTTATCGATTATTGGGACCAATGTTTTCGTTGCTGATATCTTGTAAAAGCAGTCTCTAGCACAGGGGTTGCCAAACTTTTTTGATCATCGACCCCTACATAATTTTTCGAAATCTCCATCGACCCCCATAAAAGTAATTTTCTGTTAATTAAAATAAAACTCTATTAGATACTGTGTTTGTACATTTATTTTATGATTTTGAACATTTATTAAAGTAATAGTACATAGTGTAACAATAGTTTTATGAAAAATATATTAATGTTGAAATATAAATACCTTAATATTTATGAAATAATAAGTAATTATAAGTAAGTAGAAATAATAAGTAAAGTAACTACGGATTTATTGCTTCTTAATCAATGACATGGGTGTGCCTGGTGTTTTTTTTTCTGCAAGGTTCGTTATATTGGGTTCAAAATTGGTCAATTTTAATCTTAAATCCCCTCGAAACTCCACATTTAATTTATTTCTGTTCTTAGTTAAGATTGAATTTACGTGACTGAAACCGGCTTCAACCATATAGGAACTTGGAAATGCTATCATAAATGGCTGAGCTATTTCGTAAAGTCTTACATATTTTTGCATTATATTTATATTTGTCCAAAATTTGCTTATTGTTAAATTTTTAAAAAGCGTCTTTGCTTCAAATCCCCATAATAATTCAGCAAGCTCATCTTGCAGGTTGATGTCCACGTTTTCAATTTGAGCAGAAAATGGCACAATAATCCAATCAGGGCTGTCAATGTTTTCCAAATCAACAAAACGCAGTTTAAAATCGTCGCTCAATTTTTGAAGATGACCTGTATATATTTCCAAGTCTTCCTCTTTTATTTCTAATTGTCACATATCTGAAAAATGCTGATTATCCTTCGACCAATCGACCCTTCCAGAGCGGATCGACCCCCGCTTATGTTAAATACACCCCTGGGGGTTTATATAGACCACTTTGGCGACCTCTGCTCTAGCATAACCAATAATTGAACTGTTTATTTCTTTTAATCAAAAACTCTTTTTCTGTAACTATTTGAATATTGTATCTCTTTTGCTTTAATATCAGGTGCAAGTGATATTAATTATTTTTAGGAATTCATATTATCTTAAAATTTTATTCCAGCATGGAACAAAGACTGGAAACCAGGTCCATATCCTCGAACCAAAGAAGAAAAAATTGCTGCAGCCAAGAAGTATTATATGCTACCCGAGGATTATGAACCGTATCCTGAAGAAGAAGGTTTTGGTGATTATCCAAAGTTTAAAATGGTACACATGGAAAATAGGAATCCTCATGAGCCTTATGATTGGGAATCCCTGAAGAGAAATTACTGTGAACCAGTAAGCCATGTTTTAATTTTATTTCATCGCAATTCGTATTGTTTCTATTTTCATTTAATTGGCTCAAATGATAATTGCATAGTTTTTATTGTAACTGTTAAAAATAATAATCTAAATGTAAAAATCTGAATTTATTGAAAATCTGTATATTTATTATAGTAGCTGTTTAAATTATTAGCATATAAATTATTAGCAATTAGTGTTCTAAAAAACCCCTGTCTTTATTTAGTGATTAAAACTTGAGAAGTCCCACATCCAAATGCCTGTATGCCAAATGCCTTACAGAATGCATAGATTTTCTTGACACTTTTTAATAATCAAAATAAACTTAACTTTTTTCATTAATTATATATATATTGTTGGTGAATAAAGTATTGTTAAAAAAAAATTCTTGTTGATTTGTAGAATAGCTAAACATTTTGTTTTACCTCAATAAGCTCATTAAAAGAGTCCTTGAGAAAAGGAGAAAACAAAAGCAGTTAAAGAAAAACAAACTTAGAGGAGAATAAACAATGAATATTAATGAAGCTCAATATTAATAGTGTTTGAAAAGAACACACACAAGCAAGCTTTGTTTTGCTTTAAACAATTGATGTTTTCATTAAAAATGTACTCAATTCCATTCCTTACTTTATATTTTTTTATTATTAAATCAAACCAATTTACTTTTAAAATTTGAAACTCATTTTTTAGTGTTATTGTTATCTTATTATCTGTGCTGCTAATTGTTCCCTTAACTAGGAAAAAAATAAACTAAAAACTACTAACTAAAACTAAATTATGTAAATGATGTTGAAATTATTGTCTGATCACTTTTATTTTTGTATATATATATATATATTTTAATGTCATTAATTATCATCCTTGATATGGTAATTATTGTTGATTTGTTATCTTTTTAAGAAGGCATGTTTTAATGTTTGTTTACCTTAAGGACCTATTGTCCAAAAAAATTTATTTTCCTGATTTGCCTAAATTCTGACAATTCCATTATATATGGGAATTTCTACTTTATAATGCATATTCTGTGAGTTCTATGGGATAAGGATTGTGGAGTACATTTCAAATTAATAAAATTGTTGCTGTATGTAAAGAGAAAAGTCTAAATGAATTCATTGATTTCGCTTACCTGCTATACATTGTCAAATAAACGAAAAATCATTGAGGTGAAGTGAAAAATAAGTTATGATGAATTTTTTGTAGTATGTACCTAATTCTTCTACTCCATGTCTTCTACATGTACATCAACAGATTTATGTGAGAAGTAGAACTAGATTTTAAATATATGTACAAAAATATTTCCTTCCCCTTGTTGTTAATAGCTGAAGAATAAAATTAGAATAATTCTAAGTATTAAATTGCATTGTTGCTTTTCCTTGATCAGGCTTTTGACCAGTTCTAATTAAATGCCTAGATAGTTCAAATATTACTGTTCCTGATTTAAAATTCCTTGTTTTGTTTATCAATAGATAAAATATGAATAATAATAGATGGATGAGGAAGTTGAAAGGTCTCGAGTCTTAAAGACCTGTAATTTCCAATGTCTAGCAGAATTATTGGATTTACGCACCAGAAAAAAAAGTTAGTCCCATCCATTTTTTTTTTTTTTTAAATATGCGGATACCTGAAGGATTCTGTGTTAAATAAAATATTATGTTAACAAACTTTAATTTTTAATAGAAAAAGTTTGGCACTGTGCATTGGATTTTTTTATTGTAATTTTTCAATTAAAATTAATGTTCATGCNTTTTTTTTTTTTTTTTTTTTTTTTTTTTTTTTTTTTTTTTAAATATGCGGATACCTGAAGGATTCAGTGTTAAATAAAATATTATGTTAACAAACTTTAATTTTTAATAGAAAAAGTTTGGCACTGTGCATTGGCTTTTTTTATTGTAATTTTTCAATTGAAATTAATGTTCATGCTAAATATGTATTAAAAATATTGAAAATCAGATTGGTGTAATTAAGGTAGACTGGGGGGAGAATGATCTTTAAGATTCTAAAAAGTTTTAATGAGATATTGTTTGTTAAGTTTTTTAATATAAACTCTAAGAATTAGTTTTTTTTTCCTAGCAAATTTATATATTTAAAAATAAAATTTTGCCGATTGAAGAATCCTGATGTCTTGTAGAAATTACAAATTTCCTATTGAGAAAAATCCAGTTGAATAAATATTCAAAACTTGAAAGTTAAAACGACTTGCATTGCACCCCCACTAGCTCAGCAATGCAAAACTCACGAAATGGTATTTTGACAGTCATGTCTGGAAAAAATCACATTTCTGCCTCATTTTTTCACAAGTAGTAAACTAATATTAGTTATAGAAACAGTATACAAGAGGCAGACCTGTATAACATGCATGAACACACGAACCTCTTGTGTGGAAAAAAAAATTTATTACTCAAAAGGAAATAATCCACTTCTTCAAAGAGGGTTTGTCTTTTTCAAATTACCGATAAATTTTTTTTCGTTTTTACACTTTTTCATTCCAAGGCAACTTTTATTTAAAATGTCATTCACATGGTTTTTAAGATTAGCGCATCGTTTTTCCTTTTTCATGATTTTTATATCAAATATCGCGTTTTGACCATCACAATTTGAAAACCACTTTTACGTTTCATGTTGAAGTGACTTATAAATTATACACCAATATTCGTTTTCGCGCGATTTTAAATTGAAGCATTGATATTTGTATTCATGCGATTTTAAAATCGAACATTAATATTTATATTCATGCAATTTTAAGATCAAACATTCCAGTGTGTTGTACGGGATGTTAAGATCAAGCATCGAGATTCGTATGAATACATTTTTAAAACCAAACATTGAGATTCATATTTACACAATTTATGTAAAGGAAATAAAATTTTGCATCAATATTTTTATTAAAACGTTGATTACATTCTGTGGATGGATATTTCCTCTGAACACTTTTTTCTTGTTTAAATGCAGATATTTTTCAACTCTTTAAAAAAGGTTTTTTGCACATAAATTTTTGAATTTCTATTAGCTTTTTTGGTTTTCTACCTAACTCATATCTGTGGTGTGTATCAATATAGAAATCTATAAAAAGTTTTTTAAAAAATCAGTGATTTTGCAACGAATTTCACCAAAATGAGGTGATGACAAAACGATTTAAACTATTAGTAGTCGCAAGAGTTAATCAATGCGTGCAGAAAGTGTTTTAATTTAGATTTTGAAGTTTTTCCTTTTATCTAACTCTGACAAGAGGTAGCATTTTTTTTTAAAATTTAGAAATCAGCAATAGAGATTAAGCAGAAGTTTAAATCTTTTTTTTGTGGAATGAATTGTTATTTATTTTTTATTTTTTGCTATTAATGAATTGTTTTTCAATTGATCTAAAAATTTTTTTAACAGATGCATCCTGATTTTGATCTGTGTGTCGAGGATAAAATAAATTTTGATAAGAAATTCAAAACACCTTTGTGAGTATAAGTTTATGTTGTTTATATGCCCCAGTTATATAATGCAATAAATATATGTTTTTGTACTTTTTATTTGCTGTATGTAGTTAGTGAAACTTTATTTGATGCGATCCTTTTAAATTGAATTTAAGAATTTTCTAAAAGCATAAGAAAAATATTCACAAAAATGAGACTTATTATGACTGGTACCTAATTTTTATGCTCTAATTTAATGTTATGTTAGACCTAAATAACAGTGATACTTGCAGAAAATGATATTCTATATTTTCAAATATAAGCTGAAAAATTTTCGAGAGCTAAAGTTATAATCAGATCCATCAACAGTGAAAATTTCTAGGAGGTCATCGCCAATAGAAACACTTCTCCTTTTATCGAGCATTAGAAATAACCAGTTAATATCGCAAAGCGTACATACAAAGCATGAGAATACAGAAAAGGATATTTGAAAACGGAATTCCTAAATATAAAAATTTTAAAAAAAGACTACATTTATCTTTTACTTAATCAGTTTTATAAGCTGAGAATGAGTTTCTTACTCTGCTGTGAAATTGAAAAATCAACGTAAGTGACAAAAAATTCTAAATTGAGATTTTTATATATGTGGCATTTTTGTATGGTAAGTTACGTATTGCAAAATAAATAAATAAATCAGAAATAAATTTTATTTTATCAGTTTTTTTAAATTCTATTTTAGCGTTTATAGCTTTAGTAATAGAATGAGAAAAGTTGTCAAGACACTATTCTCGGAATTAATCGTGAAGAACTTGCATTAATTTTTCAATTGCAAGGCACTACAAGCATAACAAGTTTTTTACACCCAACATATTTTCTTCGGTATTTTTTAATGTTTTACTTGAATTTTTTGTCAAGTTGAATAGCTGCTGATGTCGATCCTTAATAGTAAGTGAAAAGCCTGGAGGAGGAGGAAACAAAATAGGTTGGGCTGAGAATATGATGCCAATCGGGGTTGCTGATCTGAAATTCCTGCAGAGTAGAGAGAGTGTACATTTTTATTTCCAACGTAATAGCTTTTTTTTTTACATCTTCTTTTATATAAGTTTAATTTTGGGTGAATTTCCAAATAACAAGCTTACTCTTTGACTTATACACAGATGAGCTTTTATTCAGATGTATATGGTACTTCAATCTGGGTTCATAAACTGTTTAATCTTTTTACACATATATACTACTCTTAAACATGCAATCTAAATAATAAAGTGGGGAAGTTCAGTTCAGGAGGGGATTTTCCTACTGCAACAGAGCAGGGAATATGTTTTCTTTCAGTAGGAGATTTCCAAGCTAACTGAATTAATAACTTTTTTCTTGGAATTTTCTGCATGCTGCAAAAGACATTGCTACTATATCTATTACATTATATATTCTATTGACTGAATTCATATCTTTGATTGTAAGTATTAACGCTTTTACAGTGAATTTAAAAAATCTAACTCGTGTTGTTAGGTTAAAGGAATAAATAAAATATGTTAAAATGTAAACTTCTTTTATTAACTCCCTGTCCCATGTTACTAAACAGTGTCAATATTGTTCATAAGTAACCTGGATTTTTTCAAAATGTTAAATTTGTTCTTTGTAGTTACTTTCTAGTAAGTTGATGAAATGTGTACATTTGTTTATTCTTTTTCTACAACTGAGATTGAGCACAACAGTTTTTATTGTAAATTCTTGTTTAGTAAATCAACGGTTCCAGAAATGGGTTTTGCGGAACCTTGGGTTCTGTGAAAAAATCACAGGGGTTCTGAGATTTAGGACTTTTTTAACCAGTAATAATTATAATTCTTATATTCCATCAATAATACATAATTTATTTGATGTTTCAGTTGTCTATAGAAAATTATTTTTGTAAAATACCACTGAAAAAGTAAAACCAATATTTAAAAAAAAGTTTTTTTTAAACAGTGAAATGTTAAATAAATAAAATAAAGAAGATCCATTTTTCACAAATTCCAAATGTATTTGTTGTTGAACTTTTCAAAACAAAATAAAAAATCAAGAACAAGAAAATGTTTCTTTAACTGCTATTCTCAAGGTTAATAGCAGTTTTGTTTTGAAAACCATAATTCAGATTATCTTATTTCTTTTCATTATATGCATATACACTACAGTCAATGTTCTCAAAATAATTAGTAGTTTATTTGCTTATATATATTATTTGGTGATATATATATAGTATCAGGATACCGCCAAATGAAGATTGATCATTTAGGGCAGTGTTCCCCAACCTTTTTATCACCGCAGACCTGTCAACGTTCGATAATTTTACCACGGCCCCCAGGAGAGGGGGGCGACGACGTTGATTGTTTATATTTTAGATAATTTTTAATTACATATTATGTTTTAATTACATATATTAATTTTAATTTAATTGTATTTAAACATGCCTTCAAAACAAAATACTGTTACACCAAAAAATAAATATAAAGTGATTTAGCATTTTAACTTACTAGAACGTTAAATCAATGAGAACCCTAAGCTTGTTTCTTTGCAATGAGACGGTTCCATCTGGGGGTAATCGGAGACAATGATACATTACAAAAATTTATGTCACTACCTTCGGGGGCCCTTTTTTTTAAATAAATAAAATTTTAATGGAACACAGATATTTTTAATTTGGGGTATAAATTCAGTTTCAATGAAATGGGCGGCCCGGTACCATTTGATCCACGGACCGGGGGTTGGGGAACACTGATTTAGGGTTCATAGCCGGAAAAGTTGGGAACTGTTACCTAGATCAAATTTAATTTTACTATTGCCAAGAATTAGACTTTAAACATTTTTGTACCAACTTAGATATTTTAATAAGAATTTATTGCAACTTTTTATTGTTTATTTCATACCTGTCTAGGTAAGATTTTGATTTATTCTTTTTTTAACATTTTCTATAAGTTCTGGAATAAAAGTTTGAAATAGTATATTAATTTTGTTTTCAATTTAGTTTTCTTTCACCTTATTTTTTGTTGTATTTATATTTGTCAACTTAAATTTGTTATAAAAGTAAGAAATCTTAAACGAAATTTTAAAACTCTATTTTCTTTCAAGTATTACACAAGCATACATATTTTATAAACAATTAATTTATATATCTTGTTTTTAATAATGAAGTATACAATGAGTGAAATATCTTGTAATACTTCTGTTTGTCTAAGTTGATCCATTTCCGCACAATATGCTAGAAAAATATGTTTAGTTTTCTATGTTCGAGATGAAGAAAAACAATATGTTAACATTTCATTCTATACACAAAAATTATGTATGAGCATAAATAATACATATTTAAAAATTATATAAAATTGAAGAATTCTTTTTTTTAAAACTTCATTAAGAATTGGTTTTTTATTTTAACTAGAGAAGAGAAGTTTATTTTCAAATATAAAATAAAGCCTCCATTTTTTTTACTACTAATGTTTCATTCCTGTAATTTTAGTTTAAGATTAAACATGCTTTTGAGCAAAATCTTAAACAACTAATCATTCATTAATCGCAATATTTATATTTCACAAAGATTTTATGTATAACTATTCAGTAAATTGTGTTTAAAACATTTAATAATTCAATTTTTAACTTAAATTTCTGGCGAAATAACTTCGAAATCCCATCCCTCTGAAAATAGACACAGCACCAGCTTCTAAAAACCAATACTTTATTTTTTCAGGGTGATTATTTCTGCTGTGATAAAACTATTCATATACTAAACCTAACTCTAGAAGAGTAGCTTAACAGAGAATGTTTTTCCACTAAGCTATAATTGTTGTGATCAATCTAGGTTAACTATGCCTCTAATTAAAGAACTTAGTGTAAAACATGTTATTCCATTAGACTCAAATTGCTGTAATAAAATGTACTTAACAGTGTTGCAGTGCAAACAAAATTATTTATGGAAAGCAATTCACAACTTCGTGGGGAGGGTTGGAGGAATCTAGAATTATCTTGGATAATTTTTGTTCAACAGCTTATAAATCATCTAAAGTTTTGTTAGTTAGGTTACTTTATTTTTGTTTTTTTGTAACCTTTTTAACTTTTCTTCCCTTTTACTGAAAAATAATTCTAAATATTTTTATTAGAGTAATTATTTTTACTTGTTTTCATTACACCTCTGTCGATTTAGCAAATGGGCAAAACTGGAAAAATATTTCTCCCCAATATACTATTTCCCTATCTAATAATATGGAAAAATCGCTGTTGCTATGCAGAGAAGACTGCAGGTTTTAATACGACTTTTTACGTGTAGAACCGTCAGTGGATTAAAATCAATTGAAAATGTATATTGGCTTACATATAATTAATTGATTATTAATAAAACAAATGCACTTCATTTCTTTTAACAAATTTAAAAAAATTGCATGCTAAGTAGCTGTTTTTCTCTTTATTGACAAATATTTCTAGAAATGGTTAAAAGGTAATGAAATTTCATAATTCTAGTTTCAAAATAGAAATGTAAAGTTAATCAAAGCTAATTTTGCAATTGATTGTCTTAATTTGGTACAATAGTTTTCTAACTTAGCACATTCATGAAGATGGCTTTTAAATTATTTGTATTGCCTGCAAATTATGTTAAAACTTTTTTTTATGTGTGTTCCGTCTCATCCTGGTTTCAATATAACCCTTTTTCTAATTGAAAACTCGGGTTTAAACATGTCATTCCATTAAGTTCTTCAATTATGTTAATGAGAAAATTTACATAAAATATTTATAGTTTTTTTGCTATCTTACTATTTGATTGATATAAATGTGGTCTATTTGATATAGGTGGAGACAGTTTATTTATTTAGCAACTGGTGTGACTTTGTGGATGACTATTGGCTACTGGGACATCACACATCCTTTAGACCAACACATTGTAAGAAATTGTTTTTTAAAACATTACTAGTTGTGGCTTGAAAAATCAAAATCAGAATTATTCAAAATAATTCAAAAATAGTGTCTTAAATTTCAATAAGTAAAATTGTTACACAGTTGAAAAAATCAGGGATGAGATTTTTCCGCTTTTTAGCGGATTTCCGCTTTTTTCACTTTTATCTCTTAAATTTCAGCTTTTTTATCAAAAATTCAGATTTTCTAAAAATTTTACTTTTTTTATAGGTATTCCGCTTTTTCAGAAAATTCACCGATTTTCAAAGAGAAACAGAAAATTCAAACAACATAGCTACCAATCCTTTCTCATTTTTACTTATTTTAGCTATTTTCTCCCCTTTTACACGCAGCAGATAAGATTTTCCAAATTTTTTACCCACCCTCCAGATAAATCCGATTTTCGTAGTTCAAACGACGCTGCGTCTGACAAACCTTTTAGAGGTCCCAAGCCTGGAATCTGCCTAATATCTCGATTCTTATTCACACGATTTTAATATCAAACATAGCTTTTCATATTTGCGTGTTGCGATTCTTATTCACGCGATTTGAATATTGTACGCTGCGATTCTTATTTACGAGATTTAGAAATCCGATATTGTGATTCGTATTATTTACGTCTTTCTAAAAACCTATGTAGCGATTCGTATTTGCTCATGCGGNTTGATTCTTTAATTTTTCTTTTAGGCTATGTAAGAGTTTTAAAATAATACAAATTTTATTTTATGACTAATTTCATTTAAGTTTGCTTATTTTTATGTTCTATACTGTTGCGTCTTAGCCCATTGTTTTTTTCATCTTTTAACTTTTCTTTTCCATTTATAAACACCTTTTACAATTTTTAAAATTTATTATCTGATTAAATTAGTTAGTTAAATTAGTTTAGTTAAATTAGTCAAATTTTCAATGTTTCCTAACTAAAGCATATTCATTTTGATCTTATTTGCAGTTGGTTCAATTTTCTAAAGTTTCAGAATAAAATTCCATGAAAATTTTACATTAAATATAGTTAAATAAAGCATTTTCCCTAACCTGTGATTTTTTTTCAGTTTAAATAAAAATCATGAAACAGCATTCTAGAAATTTTAAAATTTCACAGATACAGAAATAACTTATCAACTATTTTTTTTTTTAATATAATGGGCTGAATGTTGCATATTTGTCCAAATTTATAATTTGTCAAATAATTATATTTAATTGCGTACTTATTTATTTTTGAAATTATTTTAATATTGTTCCTATGAGAAATTGATAGATAGGATAATTTTAGAACGTTATCATTCTGATGCTCTTCTTTATTTAAGCAGTCATCAGTTTTATTTTAGTGATCATATGGAGTTAAATTTTTTGATCTCTAATTAACTCAACAGGCACTCGAGTAGCTTTGTAATAAGTGGTTTTTCTGGAAGCATCATTGCCCCCAATATTTCAAAGATGTCCTGTGTCTGGCACTGTGTCGATGCTCATATTGCAGTTTTACGCTATAAACTTTGTTTGAGTTATCATTTAAAGTTACAGCCCTGAATTAGGTCATATTTTTAGTTACATATATTTTTGTGCATTATTAATTAGTTTTTTTATTTTTACAGGTCAATAAACAATATCCACACAGCGGTCAAGTTCATTACAGCTTTGAACCTGCAGAAGAGTGAATTATTCTAAGAGTGAAATTATTGTAGATAAATGTTTAATGCTTTAATTTGTATTTCATTAAAACTGAATAATATGAATATCTCTTTGTCATTATGAGTGAAGCCACTTTATCTCACCATTTAAATGAAAATAAATCTGCTACCTAATGATTCAATTCCAAAATCAGATAAAAGTGGAATGTTTAGTAAAAAATATTTTCATTTAGTCTCAGTGATCAAACTCAGTTAAATTAAAACCTGTTTTAAATTAGTCTTTCAATTAAAAATTTCAAACAATAAATTTAGACTTTTAACCTTTTTTTTAAACAAAAATTATCAGTAAAAAATGTAATTTTCTAGCAAAAATTGCTATTTACTGAAATGATTAGTTTTACTTGCTTTCACAAGAGTGACTATTGTTTTTATTTCATACCCGTCATAAACGGCGAACCCAATTTTTGGATTTACAACTATTAATGTTCAACTCTATAGCCTTGTAATTTTGATCCCAATCCTGAAGACAAGGGAACTCCTAGATCAAGTATTGGGAGAAATTTGCCTTTGTGGAGGACTCTATGATAGAACTAACCCCGCATTTACATTATGTGGAGAGGAAAACCATGAAAATCTCCAATGGTTATCCTGATGTCAAGGGGACACTAACCCATGATTCATCTACCACTGAGGATGTCTTACATCAGCACAGTGGTCATTACGCTCTATGTGCAGAATTCAACTCTAATGGCTATTGCTGGGAATTGAACACCGTTTACCTCATTGAACTGTGTTTGATTCCCAACAATTCGATTCTTTTTGTCGATATATATTAGAAGGTGAATGCTCTACCCCTGAGCCACCACGGTTCAAGGCTATTGTTTAGAATACTTATCTTCATCTGATTACATTTGCTGTACATAACTGCGAAATCTACTGGATTTATCAGTAGACTACTGGATTTTGGTCTTCTGGTTTAATAAAAATTCCCCTGTTTTCTGTACATTTTAGAATATTCCATAGAATCTAGTAAGCTTCCTAAGAAAATTCCCTTGTTTTCTGTAAATTTTAGAATATTCCATAGAATCTAGTAAGCTTCTTAAGAAAATTGAAATAGAATTTTTACACGATTTATTGGTTGCTTTAATATTTAAATAAGTATTACTAATTCATAATGAACCATATAGTAATCATTTTAAAGCATTCTTTTGTTCTAAAATTTTCAGTTTATTTTTGTTTAGAAAATTTAATTAAAAAATCTTTTAACCATCAATAATAAATTACTTGTCTATTTCATGCAAAGTTAGTTAATATAATTAAAAACATTTTAAGTTAATTTAATGTTGAACATAAATGAAAAATATTGAATATTTATTAGTGTAAAAGTCCCTAAAATTCCCCATATGTAAAATATTTAGTATATTATGCAACTGTTAACATGAAATTTATATTATTTGGAAAATCTACTGGATTTTTTTCTTGTCTATGTTAGAAGCTATGAGTATAACCAGTTTAGCATTTGAATTATATTTTGTACCTGTAAAGCTATTTTAGAGATCAATATCTATGCTATGTAATGTTTTTTTTTTCTGTAGCTATTGTAAGATATGTCCCTAAAAAATTTGTGCTGGTTTCGCTTTTGGTCTTAGTAGTGTGCCAATTACAAACTACATGTTAAAATATTCTCTATAGCTATATAATTATAATCTACAAGTTAAATATTCTTTATAATAAACTAAAATTTACCAAACTATATTTTCTTTAAAATAGATCATGAATTGCAGAATGCGATTATTTTAAATTTTGTGAATACGATTCATTATGCCTAATTTTTAAATCGTGATATGTTACAAGTAAATTAAATTACATGAAACATAAAGCAAGTTCTTGAATTTGTTTTTGAAAATTGAGAGCGAATCCTGTAATGAATAAAATAACACTATTTTTATTAAAAAAAATAATAATTTTTTAATAATACTTTTAAATTATAGTAATATTAAATAAGCACAAATCTTTTTTAAGCAAAATTTTATGAGCAATGAGTTGAATTTCTTAATTAGAAATAAAACATGATTGATTGAATTTCCCAAGTGGAAGAAAATTTATTCTAAATGATGGAATCTATTTTTAATTACAAACAATATGCCGACGCTAAAAATCAATTAATCAGTTAATACAACCAAATTTTAAATATCAGCTCGGGAAAGTTTCACTAAGTAAAGATTATTTAAATGTTTCTATCATTCATTGCAAAAGTTAACTGACTGAAGAGCTTTGGAAAGAGCTTAGCTCAATTTGTTTACTTGTTCTTTTTTTCTTTCATTATACCAATTTGATTTTTCCCGCCTGGTATGAAATCGTACTTCACTGAAATAAAAACACTCCCGTGGACTGTAATACATAAAACACTCATTTTATTAGCGCTCTTCACGTGGTGTTCACCAACACACCCGGGGATGATCTCACAGCGCACTTCAAAGTGCATTTTCAAGTCTCGTCAACACAATTAAAGAATTTTTTTTCAAAATCATAGTATGCATATATATGTTAATTTTCTGAAATAATTTTAATTTTGTAAGTGAAAAGTAACAGTTTATAAACTTTGCTAAATAACAAAAGCTCTTTTAATAATCTATGTATTCTTACAAAGTGCTAAGTTTCTTTGCCAGCTTGTTCTAATTTGAATTTTAAATTTATGTATGTGGCCAAACAATGTTTAAGAGGAAAGGGACCTAAAAAGTTCTGCAAAATTTGAATTAAAATTAAATTGAAGTAATCAATAAGAAATAGTTTTGAAATTTATTATTAAAAGATTAAAGAAACTGTACTACTTATAATTTGAACAGAAGAATTAGGACTAAGAAACATGACATTTTATTTTGGTAACCAACCTTAGAAAAATGGCATGTATAGCAAAGAATACCTTTACTTCAGGTAAAATGTCGCATTGATTAGATATTTTATAGCAGAGAATGGTCACCAATAGACATTGAAACTTTAAAAATTAAGTTTATTAATTAACTAAATTTTTATGAACACAAAAACTATTCATTTTTATTATTCAACTACAATTACATACCTTGATTCCAAAAAAAAAAAAAAAACTGACTACAATATGACATGCACTTATTATATTAGTCTATGTATTTAAAAGTAAAAAAAACTGTTCCTTATAATGTTTTTATTATTTATTTACACTTACATACAACTTAAAAAGCAATTTGAGTACAATATTGCTTATACATATATTAAATAAAATTTCTGTAGACATTTATAGAAATAACATTAAAATAATCAAACTAATTTTAAGGTNAATATGACATGCACTTATTATATTAGTCTATGTATTTAAAAGTCAAAAAAACTGTTCCTTATAATGTTTTTATTATTTATTTACACTTACATACAGCTTAAAAAGCAATTTGAGTACAATATTGCTTATACATATATTAAATAAAATTTCTGTAGACATTTATAGAAATAACATTAAAATAATCAAACTAATTTTAAGGTTTTTCAACAAATTTGTGACATCTAATAACTTGAAGTTTAAAAAGAATATTTTTTATAGAATAGCATTAAATACAATAGGAAAGATCTTCCTGATCTTGTGGAAACAACAAACAAATGAAACATAAGGTGGAATGTCTAAAAATTTATACAGTTTTAATTTAATATTTTATAAAACTGAAATAAAATTAGCCTCATTTTTCAGTATGAAAAATATCAAGAGATTTAAGATTAAATTATATTCTGAAGGCAATCAAGCTGTAGGTCTGTTTCTTTTATTAATAGTTTTGAAAATTCTAACAATAAATCACAAGAACAGTGAACTTTTAATAACACTCTTTAAACACTGGTGTCTTTTTCTGCATTGAAGATAAAATCTTCCTAACAATAATTTTTCAAATTTGAAATCATTTAGATCTAAGAGAATTATTCATTGAAATTTTTTTAATATACAAAATTAATTATTGCTTATTTTTTTAATGTAAATGAAAAATAATTTAATTCTAACTACTTTTTTGAATTTTATATTTTAGTACAAATATAGTTCCGATAATTTAACAGATATTTTTTAGTAACTATTAGAATGATTTTTAAAATTGAAAAAAACCAAAAAATATTTTTGCTTGTCATTAAAGCGAAATATAAAAATTAGAAAAAAATATAGAAAAGGGACAATAGTGTGTCATCTGTAAGGACTAACAATAAAAAAAATTTTAAAAAAGAAAACATGTTCTGAAGTAAATAATAAAAAAAAAAAAACTAATTCAGAGATGTATTATTCTTGGTTTAATCTTATTTACAGGCATAATTTTTTTTCTTTTTTAATTGTTGAAACATTTTTGGAATGTCGATAAATACAATAAAAGCTTGATTATCCAGAGTATACAGGAAATCGACAAATTGCAGATCTGGGAAAATTCTAGCTATTTTGTCACCAAAAATCTAAATTTACGTTTCCTTTTTTTGAGAGTGCAATTTTAAACCATTCAGGACAACTAGCAAAGTTGTAGATCTAGATCTCCTAAATTAACTTATGCCAAAATTACTTTTTCTAAATATTTATTTTTTTAAATTTCTAGTTAATGAAATATTAATTACTATAAAATAAACCACAGAAATTTAAATTAAACATTAAAAACACATGTTTAAACAATATTTGACTTTTTTAAAACACTTAAAGTGAAAAAGAATGTTTAAAATATAAACCAATGATTGACATTTAAAAAATTGTATTTAGGTTTAGCATACCTAGCAAAATAAGAAAATTTGATAATTAATAGTAAAGTGACATTTTGTTCATGATATTGTATTTATATAATGTATTTCTATTAATTATTATTTTTCATCATGTACAAATACAACTTATAATAGAAAAATATTCTTATTTTACTAAATATGTAAAAATTCGAAGGAAAAAAAAAAGATTGATTACAAAAACAAATTAAGAATAGATAAAAGTAATTGCACATGAAATATATTTTTTCCTGACATTAAGAAATGAAAATTTAAAACTATTACGAAAAAATTATATCTTTCGCAATGAATTTAAAATTTCTTTGAATTAGAAAATTAAACCTTTTACTAATTTTTTTTTCCTGACTTTTCCAGATCATTTAGTCATCCTGATCAATAAGTACAAAAAAAAACTATAAGAGTGTTTTTACGATGTAAGAAAAAGCAAATCTTACTATAAATAAATACAGCAGATATACTAGTTTAAATAATTCTAGACATACTGAATTAAGAAGCTTAATACTAACTTTACCTAAAAATAACAGCAGAGCTCGAAACTAGCAGCAGTTTCTTTGTCCGATACCCTATCGCAAAATAATTATCAGAGGTTCCCGGGACCAAAAGTCAATGTAAAGATTATATGCTGCTTTATTTTTATGATTTTGGTTTTGTATTTCAGTCAGCATTTGTGACAGAATATCATAATCCCTCATAATTTTGTTCTTTCAACAATTCCTTATTTTTTATTTAAATTCACTTTATTAAATCTTTTATTCTAAGAAAAAATCTAACCAAGGCATATAAATAGACCAGTGATATTTTCTAGTTAACTAGTCCTTCAAACTAACGACTAAATTTTCTTAAATTCTATCCATGTAACATTTCCTGCAATAAATAAATTTTATTTCAAAGGATTAATTAGCAGAGAATGGAGTAATATAATGTAAACCATTAGCTTTTACATCACAATTAAAACATAAGTGTTGCAATATAATTAGCTATAGAACAGTAACAAAAAACATGGGAGTAACCTATGGTAATTGGAAAATTCGGGGATATTTCCGTATCGTGATCTGCCATGCCAGCTACAATCGCCAAGGTGCCAAATGCATTTTAAACTTGCAATTTTTTTTTAAAAAAAAAGCATGTAGATCTTTGCTTGGGGGTGGTTAAAACTGGCATAACTTAGCAATTACTCTGCCACAGATCACAATACGAAAATCTCCCTGAAAACTCAGTGATAATAACATCAACAGTTCTTGCTAGAAATTTATTTAAATGATTCATTAGCAGATAGTGGAGTAATACTATCCAAACCATTAGCTTTTACATCACAATCAAAACATAAGTATGAAGGATCTGCCATTACAATACTAGCAATACAGTAGTAACAAAAAACATGGGAGCAACCTATGGTATGTGGAAAATTTGGAATATCTCCACATATCATACATTCATTTAGCTGCATATGAAGTCTTCTGTATACATGATTCGAAGATCTTGACAAAAACGTACGTTTAAAATGACCTTTTATTTTGTGAATGTTAATTAAAGGCATAATGAATCCGAGAAACTCTGCCAAACCATACCATAACATCTCTCGATGCACATTATCGTCCATGACACGGCGAATATCTTGAGGAGCAGTATAAAGAGGACGTAAGCGCAGCAATCGCTCTAATACAGAAGGATAATAAGATTTTTGAAGGAATATACTGAAGTTTAAAAGAGTTAACATTTTATAAACGATGTTAAAGTTATTTTCAAAATTATAAGAAGCATCTACGATTGACATGCCAAATTCTGTGTTTGGCAAAGAAAGTAGCGATTTTCGTACTAATCTTTCCCAAAGCCATGGAACACAAATACTAAAAAATGCCAATATTCGAAGTTCGTTATTTGTAGCTGGATTATTGTTGTTAGTGTTACGATATTGAAGTTGAAAAAGATTTTGGCCAAATGTACCTCCGAGATATCTTAGTGGAAGGTATTTGAAACAAAATCTGAAAAGTATATCAAATTCAGGACCTAATCGAGTTGTGAAAGAATTCGGTAAATATTTAAAAGCCTGACGGTAATGAGTATTTAATAAATTAGATAGTTCTTCATCGAGACAAATTGCATCCAGCTGATCAACCCGACGGGCAAACTTTGACATTGTTGTTAGTTCTTGTAAACCTCAACAGAATTATTTCATGTAACAAAAAGAAACTTATTTTTTAACAGTCGACAAGCAGACAACTGCCAACAGAAAACAGCAGCGAGTTGAAAGTAAATTAGATATTCGCTTATAGCTTACTCACTGCCGCCGTGCAGAATGACAGAGCGCCCTCTATTCACAGCAAATAGCTCCATAAGGTTTTCATTCCTTCAAAAATTATTTATCCAGGTAATTACTGCTTTTATTAAAATGTTTTCCCCCTTAACAAGTATAGAGCTTTGTAAAAATTATTTTTAGTATACATTTGCTGTAACAATTTGAATTTTTATTTAAAAATCTATTTTTTTCTGTTTTTGTAAAATCATTTCCAATTTCAGGAAGAAAAAAATTTAAAAATTAACTTTTATATTTTTAATTTCTTTAGTTGAAAGTTTTATCCCTTTAAATTTTTTTTCTTCTCAGATTTGAAATCACCAAAGGAGTTAAAGTTTGGTTTGAAGAAACTTTAGAGATCACTCTGACTAGTTATTTATAATGAACCCACAAGTCTGCATATGTTTGAGAAGAAATAAATCACTTATTTTAATAAAAAGGAAAAAATTTATAAAAAAATAACCAGTACTAAAAACCACTCTTACAAAACTAAGTTATTAAAAGATAGAAAAAAAGGCATTTATATACTAAGTGAGCTATTTTGTAAATAAACTAAAAATATATTTATTAGCTTAGAAAGTCAATATACTAAAAAATTTAAAGAAAATTAATGATTTTCTCATCTTTGCCCTATCTATTCTATTGCTTCTTTAATGGTATTTAATCTTTCAAAACATCGCGATAAGCATTTGTACTAGTCTAGTCTTTGCTATTATTTTCGTTGTTTTTTTTTTTTTTTTTAATTAAAAATGCTTTTTTTCACATAAACGATATATTTAGGAAAAATATTCTTAATGAATGTTAGCTTCTATTCACTAAACCTTTTAAAATAAAAATTATATATTTAGATATTATGATCACCATAAAATTCCATTTAAAGATAATTTTACATGCTATTAAATTATTTTTGCTCCTCAGTTGCCGATTGATGAGAAGGTTTTTGATTTGTTTTATCATCAAACTACTTAGATATGAAATAAATGATAAATAAAATTTTTTAAAGATATGTTAATCAGATATTTAATTTTGGTATTGTTCGCATTATGCAAAAGTTTAAAACGGTTGCTGTTGAAGAATTTTATTAAGTACTTAAAGGAAACTTTTTCAGAGAAAGCATTTCAAGTTTATGTAAAATTTGGAAACACAAAAGATAGCACATTCAGCTAAATAATTAAATTTGTTATTAACCAAGAAATTCTTTATAAAACAACTTTCCAAGTCAAGTTCTTTTTCTTTTTTAACCATGAAATGAATAATTATTACAGAAGATGCAACATATTTTAATTTGTGTATAAAGGTTTACATAAGTTCAGAAAAGCAGATTGCAGCTACAGGAGTTTAAGAGAAATAACTAATGTAAATATATAATTGGTTTGTGAACTTGTTATGGATTTTCACTGTATAATAATACAATTTCATACTCATTCTTTTAAACAGTACCAACCAGTTGTTTTAACACAAACTACAAAATTAGATTAAGTGATATTGTTTGTCAACATTATGTGATACACCCTGTACTTCATGAAAACATTAACATTAAAGAAAACATTAGACTAATAAATTATGCTTTTATTATACAATTTCAATACACAGCAATTTTGCCAAAACATTAATTTTTGAGCATTTTATTACAGCAATATTTTTGTTCCAAATTCCTACTAATTACAATACTGGCAGTATCCATCATTGGTATGTTGAGATTAAAAGTGTTTCCCCTCATAAGCAAAACACTTATATGGTCCCTCTCATTCTATTGTATTAAAACATGCACATAAGAAAACGGCAGTTATCCTTCAGCCTTTACAGCAGTTGTTTCAGTACTTGCAAGATCTACAACCTCTCCACCAGCTAATTCACCAGGCAACACACATTTCCAAAGTCCATAAGTTTTACCAACAATGGTTTGCCAAAGGCGCAGGGTGCCATCTTCACTGCCACTGGCATACAGTTCTCCATCAGGAGAAAATTGCACACAATGAACTGGACCAAAGTGGCCTTTAAAGGATTCTAAAATAAAATTATGAAAAAGAATGAATAATTTAAATTATTTTAAGCAAATACTACACTTATAACAAACTGAAAAAATATATATTTCTCGCTAGATGTAACATTTTAGCAAATTGCATTAGAGGAAATGATATTAAATCTAAGTAATAGTAATATATTTTTTTAACTATAATTATTTAGTGACTTAAAATTTTCATTAGTAACAGTAAACAAATTAAATCTTCATACACTATAATTTAAAGTACAAAACTTGGAGAAATTTCATAAACAAACACTTTTCCTTTTCTTCTTCCACAATGCATTCCTGAACAATTAGCAAAAGGTTTTACTGCTGCACACATGTCATTACATGTTTTAAAAATAAAGCAGTCATGAAAATTGTGAGTAACAGTTATGACTAAGGGTTTCAAGTTATAAGAAATATGTAAAATCCAGTTTTTGGAACTATTGTACCCAAATCTCAATAAAATATTCTTAATCATTAAAGTATGACTATGAATTTAACACTCAAGATTTATTTTAGAGAAAAAAATAAAATTTTTGAATTTATATTAAAAAATAACAGTTATTTATATCAAAACTTTAATGAGGAAAAATTGGAAAGTGTCCCTTTCTTCCCGTATATCCCAGAGTTGGGGGAACATTTTAGACTGGGGCATTTCAGACAGACCCTGTGAAAAGGCTGTGGCAGAATTTAGACTTATGGTGGGTCATGACTATCTCGGGCACCACCTCCACCGCATTGGTATTCTTACGAGTCCGAATCGCCCACTCTTTAGGAAATTCAAAGTAATGGATAGGAAGCACTGGATGGGATGTTCGGCTGTACACGGAGACTCCGAGATGAAAAGATATTGGAGTGCTAGGCATCTGCTAATCAGTCATTGACTTTTTTCTCTAATCTATTTCATTTGCATACATTCTTGTTAAGAGTTTGTCAATTTCTGCCATTGGAAATATAAAAAAATTTATATGATACCCCTGTCATATCAGGATTATAATTTTTAATCCTCTTGGCATATAATAAAAAAAAAGCAATCTTATATTAAAATAATTTAGTTTTAGAAATAATAAATCAATACAGCATCTCTCTCAATGAACAACTGTAGGGGATATGACAAGCCTGAATATTCTCGATCTTGTGGCTCGGCTTTCAGATAGGCACTCTATTTACTTTCAATGTATCCCCTCTCATGTTGGTATCATCTGTAATAAAACTGCTAATAGCCTGGCTAAGAATGCCTCTGCTGACATCCTGCATGTCAATGCCAGCCTAACTTTAACAGAAATCTCCTCAATCAAAAGGATGTAACTAAATGCCCTTTGAAAGAGACTTTGATGGAGTCATCAATGCAATATTTTGAGGAAGATGTCTCTCTCACACTTTTTGGGTGGTCGCATTAAATCCCTTATCTTTCAACAGAAGGGGGACTTTTTCCAGAGTGTCATTGATGCAAAGCTGATCAAGTCTCCCCCAATCCTATTCTCAAATGCTTAGGTTTTACTGTTCCTGAGATTTTAAGGGATCCTTATCGTTTTTTAAACTTATTAGAGAATTTTGGCTTTAGAGGTACATCATCTGGGATTGGAAAAAACAGAACTAATAAAACTAAAAATCACATTTATTATCCTTTCTTATTTAAATATTCATAGGGGAAAAAAATCTAAAATAATTTGGCCATAACAACTAGAAAAATAAGCAAGCAGTACTTAACAATACACATTATTTTTTTTATAAAAAAAAAAAAAAAAAAAAAAAATACATAATTTNCCAGGGATGCCTGTCTATATTAAGACAGCATTAAATGTTTACTTTAATCTGTACTTTCAATCTCAAGAATCAAAAGATTTTTAAAAATGTAATTTCAAATGTGTTGGGAATTTAACACACACCAAGAAAGTAATTTCGTTAACTAAAATTAATTAATGCAGCAATTTATTTAAATTAAATTTTAATACTAAGAAAAGAAAATAATAAAAGTATCAAAAATTTAAAACACTGTTTTTTAACTTTTAAAATCAATATATATAGATAAAAAAAATTAGTTGATTTAAATCAATGATTTTTTTAAAAAAAATCATTTGATTTAAATCATGATTTAAATCAAGCTGATTTAAATCAACAAACCCTGGCATCATCTGTAATAACATTGCTAATAGCCTGGTCAAGAATGCCTTTGTTGACATCCTGCATGTCAATCCCAGCCAACTTTAACAGAAATCTTCTCAATCAAAAGGATGTAACTAAATGCCCTTTGAAAAAGACTTTGATGGAGTCATAAATGCAATATTTTGAGAAAGATGTCTCTCTCACACTTTTTGGGTGGTCACATTAAATCCCTTAACTTTCAACAGAAGGGGGGACTTTTTCCAGAGTGTCATTGATGCAAAGCTGATCCGGCTTTCCCCAATCATATTTTCAAATGTTTAGGTTTTACTGTTCCTGAGATTTTAAGGGATCCATATCGGTTTTTAAACTTATTAGAGATTTTTGGCTTTAGAGGTACATCATCTGGGATTGGAAAGGACAGAACTAATAAAACTAAAAATCACGTTTATTATCCTTCCTTATTTAAAAATTCATAGGGAAAAAAAATCTAAAATAACTTGGCCATAACAACTGGAAAAATATGCAAGTAGTACTTAACAATACACATTAATTTTTTTATAAAAAAAAAACTAAATATCCTATTGTAATTCCTGGAGTAGTTAAGTCTTAAGTATTTTCTTAATAACAATCTATGTAATTATAATAAAAAAATGTCAGAAATTTCTGGAATTCATAAATAAATTTGAATAGTTTATAAAAAAAATTTATTTTGAAAATGAGATATTGATATTTCAATGCTTATTAGAAAAAAGAAAGTTTAAAAAATTCTGAAAGCTATATCTTTGTAACAACAAAATTTGTATTTTCCTGAAATAACGCGAAAACATCAAATGTAGTTTCAGAAATGTCAGTTAGGGTATTTCAAAAATATGCCCGGTCGTGATTTTCAATACATGAATTTTAATATTTTAAGCCCAATCCAGAAAAAATAAATACCCAATCTATACATGGAAGGAAACTTAATATATGCTTACTTAAAGAAAACATTCAAATCCAATCTGAAATTCATAAATCACATGCCTGCATATTTACAAAGACTTTAAAAAATTTATAAAAATATGCATTAAATAAAAATAAAGTTTTAAGTTTCATTGCACCATTTTAGATAGAGATTTTTGTTACACAAAGTATTAAGAATTCATTTTTTTAAAATTATACATGGATATTTTTTTTAGATATGGATATTTTTCATAAAACTGCATTATAAATATTGAATAAATTTAAAAAACAACCAAAATAAATATTTACGTACTTAGATAATAAATCAATTTTTTTAATAGTATTTAAAACTACAAGCATTCTATAATTTTCATAAGAAATCAAGTAAAAAGTAACATTTTAATTAATTTGTTAGGTTACAAAATTAAAAGCAAATATTTGTTGCAAAAAATGTTAAATTTTTTTTTTAAATAATTCATTTAATATTTAAAAAACAAAATTAAAGTTTCTCTTTTTGCTATTTCCTTTTAAAACTTTTAGACCTGATTAATTTGTCATAACATTGGAAATTACGAAGAAAAAAAACTTAACTGTTTTGTTTATTTTTCGTATTATATATATCGGACAGCAAAATAATATTTACCCATTTCTGCTCCATTTTCATAATCAAATTTATACATCTTAAAATCATCACCCCCGCACACAAAAACTGATTGATCAGGATGTAATGATGCACTGTTCACTTGAGTTGGCACACTGTACTCTTTCAGTTTTTCAAAACTAGGAATGAGACAAATGTAAAAAACATATATAAAAAATTGCATGCGCTAAAGATGTAACTTTTTATTTCATATGAAATTACTTATTAAGGTCCCAAACAGACTTACTTGTTTAGATCCCAAAAGCTAACAGAGTGGCCATGAGTAATTACTAATATTTCTCCAGAGTTAGATATTTCTAAACTGCTTGGTTGAGTTTCTAGATCTAACTTCTTTATTTCTTCTAGAGATGTCACATCCCAGAATCTTAAAACAAAGGGAGTAAAACAATGGTAAGTACAAAATAAAATTGAAACAATTATGTCATTATAAATAAATCTATCAAAATGTTGGCCAAATTCATTTACTAAGCAATGTGAGAGAGAGGGAGAGTGGAGGCAACCCGAAAAAACCCAAGTCGGTAGTTTTATAATTCCTTTTTATTATTAACCAATAAGCTATAGATATTAAGTTTATGATAAAGTAAAATACAAACTATAGATATCGAAAAATTAATACTTCCATTACTTCAATATAATGAGCTTTAAATTATTTAACTAAATCTATTAACACAAACTATTAGAAATTGCAAATAATCAACTAAAGTATCCTCCCAAAAATTTTGGATGCTAAGTCATAATACGATTGGAACTACTGTTATAACAAGACAAATATATATCTTTAGAATCACAATTCAATGAAATAGGAAATAATTTATTTAATTATTTATTAAAATAGATAAATAATTTATTTAATACTATTTTCCCTGACTTGTGAATCTATTACATACTATTTCAAATGATATTTTTAAAATATAGCACCTTGCGTCTTTTAACTGGTAAAGAACTTGTTCAAGAATTCTTGTTCTGAAGTATTCCTTGTTGAAATATTACAGCTTATTCAAAACACTGCATAAATACAATTTTCATGTTAAAAATTTACTTTGAAAATTGATGTCTTTCATTTGAATTAAAATAAATAATTTATTTCTTTACTTAAACATTTATTGGTTTCTCATAATTCTGAAACAGAATAGGCAAATCCTCTAAAGGTCATTGGACTCTATTACTCTCATTAAAAATATAACTAATTTATCAATGTAAATGACATTGATAATATGTATTAATAATTATGGTTATTAATGGCTTAATTATTGATAAATTGATGGTATTTATGTAGCAAGGCTTACTCTAAGTTTATAACGAATAAAAAAAATATGATAAAATTCGCAATTGGTAAGTTTTTTAAAAAAAAAAAATCCAATAAATCCCCCCCAAAAAACCAGTGAGTTTAGTTTTTCCGGAAAAACTGGGGTTTCCTATGTGTGGAGGAGATACTAATTTTTCCAAATTGTTTGCTTTTAGATCCGCAGTTACTTAAAATCTACTATAATTTATTAATATTTGTAATATTACACAATAATTTGTGTTAAACAATATTGAAGTAAATAATTCATTTAGATAGTATAAATAACTCCTGTTATTTATAAAAAGAAAAGTAATTTTTTTTTTATGCATTTCATTCAACAGACATAACAGAAAAAAGTGAAATGTATAATAATTTCTTTAAAAAACAAGAATTTCTCCTAAGTAATGAAACTAAAAAAGATTCTATGATTTCATTGCAATCTAAGGTATAAGAATACTCTTTTAACATGTAACCATAATCCACACATTAAAAATATATATTTGTCTACAATATTAATATTGTTTTGAATATTGTCCATCTAGTAAGCTGTTGTAACATCACTTGTTCAAATCTAGCATTATACTGGCATATATATATTAATTTACAATCAGGAGAGTTAAAAGAAGAGTATAAAACCAGGGAAATTCGTACTGTTCGGGAGTTTGAAAGGTCAGGACATTTGAAAACTTTAGAACATTAAGTATTTTATTAAAACCAACAGATGTCAAAGTTACAGGACCCAATATAAATATTAAAAGAAATGGTTTGATTTTATAACTAATCCACATGGGATTTGGATCAGTATTTGGGAGTTATTCTAATCATTTCTAAACTATTTTTAAAATCCTGATGATCAGGGTGCCACTCTAAAAAAATCACAGGACTGAAAGTTTTATATATTTTAACGGTGTAGCGCAATGTGAACAAATATCCCTCTTGAACATTTTAATTAGTATAATATCAATAATATTTGCATTATTAATCTTAAAAATAACACATAACATTAATTCAGAACAGAAATATAACAATAAATTAAAAATTTAATGTGATTTTAAAGATTGAGAAGTAGTTTTAATTTTCCGATAACATTAAGTAATTACTAACAACTAAGATTATTATAGATAAACAAAGCACAAAAAACAATATAAATTCTTAATTTCTCAATAAAATACTACAAAATGTTCTATAAATAAGGATCCACTACATAGAAACTGCTATCCGAGTCTAATTTTATTGCTTCATAAAAAAACTTGTTATTTTCTTTGAAATAAATTTAGTTTGATTATCAGCTTTCTTAATTCCTTTCTCTTTTAAGGGAGATGAAGCTTTTCTTTTGTTCTGGCAATCAGTTTTTACATTAACACTTTTTGAGCTTATGTGAATAATTTGACTTTACTTCTAAATTTTAGGAAGAAATAAACGGGAAAAGATATTTTCCTGAAATAATTATCGAAAAAAAAAACATTTTTAGCAATGTATACATATATTTTATTTTTAAAATGTTTTTTTTTTTAAATTTAAAATTGAATTTCTGAATTTGATATTTTTTAACAGGACGGAATTCCGTCCCCAAGACGGAAGAGTGGCACCCCTGCT